TTTCCTGTAAGATATCGGAGATGAGCCGATACGCTAGCTCGCCATAGACATTGTCGGTGCCGTTCTTGTACTGTTTCAACTTTTCCACGTCTGGTGATACTGTGCGGTCGTACACCTGGGTGAGGATGAACTCGACCAAACCCCTGGGCAAGCCGTGTATCTTGTCCAAATTCTTGCGTATTGTGCCGTCCGCCGCAAGAGTGCGAATTCTCTTATTCGCGTCGTTGAGTGCCGACACAAAACCGTGGAAGTCGTTTGTGTTTGATGCTTTCCTGAGCCGCCGTAGAAACCCGTTTTGCTGCTCTGTGAACTCTTCGGCCTGCTCTTCGGTGAGGTATACGTTGGCGACAAAACCGACCACCGTCTTGATATCCTCGATTGCGTTGATGATGCCCTTGTCGTTAATGAGTTCGTACCTAGGGAGAGGGTTAGCGATGCCGTACCACAGTCGCAGACTAGATATAGAAACCTACTCTTCCGCACCGTAATTGCTCGGATATTGCAGTCGCACTCTGACGTTGTCATCTGCAGTCGCACCGAGCGAGCGCGTGGCCTTGGGACACTTCTTGAGGTTGGAAATTTGCGCGGCGTGGATCAGCCGGCTGAGGGGCTTCGCATTGTCCTTGAATGCGCTCGACCGGGTCAACACGCGCTGGGTATCTACAAATTGCCCATCTTGTGTGCGCTGCCGCTTGCTAGGCTCATGCTTGAGGAACTCTTCGTAGTTGTCGTCGCCGTCAGAGTCGTTATCGAATTTGGGCTGAGACGGCCCCGCGCTGCCGACCTTGCGCTTGCGCTCGCCGCCGCCGCTGCGCTTCTCGTCCGAGGAAGAGGAAGGGTATGGCGAGGCGCTCTGCTTGCGTGAGAGGAGGGACTTGGCGTTTGGCTTTGGCGATGCGCGCGGGGAGGCTTTGGCGGAGGATGTGGAGGATGTCGCGTGGGCGAGCTTCGGGCGCGGCTTCGGGGCGGCGACTTGGACTTTTTCGACGCGGATTGCTGCCGGCTTGGTGTTGAACTTATTCTTCCCGCCGAGGATCGGCATGGTGGGCGACTGGCGACGACCGTAAGAGGTCGGGTTGAGGTGGTGGGAGGATGAGGAAGAGGCAAGGCGCTGCGCGCGTGACTCGTCAAGCGTTGAGGTTCTCTATAGCTTCGGTGGGCTTCCGCGGGTCAGGGCGGGGCGGGTGTCCGTGGGCATGAATGAACGGGATTTATTGATAGAAAATCAATATGGGTATAGCGAATGGTGGAAGAATGAGCGTGTCGTCAGCAAGACTTTTCGCTTCGTGACATGGGTTGTCTCAGTTGCACGACGGAAAGACGTGGTTGTCGGAGGGAGGGGTGGAGGGTCGGGAGGACGGAGGGAGAAGAAGTGAGGTTTGGGGTGAGACGAGACGGGACACGAGGCGATTTTTCGGAAGAGGACGTGGGAATGGGGCCGGGACGTGACTGGGAAAAAATGGAGTGGACCTTTCCTGCCTGCCTGACCCAGGACCCCGAAAGTTGAAATTCCCCGGCCCAAGGGGGGCGGAATAAACGGGCAGGAAACAACTTCAGCACCCGGACAGCCCACCGAGGATTATGATGACTAAGGTACCTAGGTGGCTCCAGGTAGGTAGGGTGAGGGTGAAGTACCAGTTTACGGGGAAGTGCCCAGACGGCAAGTCAAGTGAGATGTGCGCAGGCAACCCAGTGTCAGGCCAGCACGTGAGGCAGGTGCAGGCGAACTACTGTACTGTAGATTGTTTAACTCGGTGTTCCCATGCCCAGTTAATAGACCACCCTTTCTTTCCATCCCGTAAGGTGTACTTTATCTTAGGTACCCTAGGCTTGGGCGGCACAGCGCATCCAGTTCGCCTCGATGCAGCCTCGAAGCATCCCGTCGCAGTAGGGAACGAGAGGTGCAGCCAAACTCCCCAGATCGCGCAGGTGCTCCATTTCGCCCTGCACCTTCCTCCGTGCCGAACAGCTGGTTACGTTTGGTAGGTACGTAGAACCCCACTTTCAAGAACCCACTGCGGATGCCGCATCAGCCGACCTCGACTTGCAGGACCAATCCAACTGGACGAGTGTGATTGGTTGCTTGTCGGGGGAACACTTCCCGGGCCGCTACGCAGTACTGTACTTCCCCAAAGCCCCCGAAGCTTCCAATGTTTCCAGCAGGTCACAGCGTGGCTGTCATCCAGTGTCACATTTTCTCCAGGTTCTTTGCTGTCGTCTTCCGCTTTGGGAAAGCCGTTGGTGCATCGCCAAAGTCTCACGTTTAAGCTTGTCTCAAAGTGACATCCATCAAGCAAGGAGTATGCGTGAGCATCATTGACGTCATCAGTCATTGAGCATTGAGCCACCGGCCTTCGTTCATCACTACCGGTACCTTACTCAGGCATGAAAATGTGTGCGACATTGCTACCACAGATATGTATGTCTGTTTGCCCGTATGAATAAAGAAGTACAATGCATGATGGGAAGACGGAAACAATGCTTAGAAACATGCTGCGCGAGTCCTAGTCTCTATTTGAAAGAGAACAATAGTACACTGCTATGCCAGAAACAGATCCGAGTGCCTTCCCTCTTCATCAGCCTTCATGGTCGCGTTTTGAAAAAAATGAGGGAATGTAGCGCAAGCCAGGTATGTGTACAAGAGGATTACTGGAAACTTGTAATGTGAACAGTGAAACGAATGAAGATACATGAGAGACCTATGGTCCTCAGAGAGAAAGTATGTGACGCAACTATTCACATCAACAGGAAACAATACAGACAACCCGTCAGACGTCATCAAACATGGGCTATTCAACCTCCATCAACTTCCAATGCCAAACAACATACCGCGGATGAAAGTGAGGAAACTCCACAGCCTCCCCCCACGTATGCTCCGTCTCGAACTTTACCTCGCGATGCTCCTCGCACCGGAAAGCGGCATCAAAAACGCCCACATCCGACGGGTCCTGCGGGTGATTCGGGAGAGACGTATCGTCTGCGTGCATCAACTCCACGACGACGCTCGTCCGCGCCATCAACCTCTCAAATACATCCTTGACGTGCGAAAAGGCAAAGTGCGTCGTCGGTTTGCCCCAGAGGACCCTGAACCAGAGTGAGTGCCGCCCGTGGTGTCCCGCCGCGTGCTGAACGATGTCGTAGAGCTCTCCCATTCGCACACCGGTGCATGGTGCTTGTTCTGATCCCGCAGCATCTCCCTTCAATGCTGAGGGGGGCACCGGCTGCTGGATCAGGGAACCCGCGACCTTTTGCTCTTCCAGCGCGAGACTGCAGACGTCGAAGCGCATGTATCCCAACGACGGCGGCGGCGGCTGCGAGACGAGCATGCGGCGCCAACTTGCGCCGCGGCGCGTGAACCGCCTCCTAGCTTCGTCTTGATATCGTGCTGCTTCTTCGTCGAGCTCGGCCGGCTTGACCTGGCTCCAGCCGCCCCAGTATTCTTGGACCGTCTGGATCGGTTCCGGGGTTTTGGACCAGGGGAGCTCGTAAAAGGAGTTGGCCCGGCGCTGGCACGAGTACGTCGGTCCAAAGTCGAAGAAGCATTTGTCAAATTTCTCTGCTAGGAGGGGGTTGATTGAGCGGTCACCGGTCGTGTGGGATGGCATGGCGCCTTGCTCCGGTATGCTCGGGAACACACCGTCCTCGAGGCCGTGGATCACAGCCCGTGAGATATCCATAGGGACTGGCTTGAAGAACAACGCCTGCTGGACGGCTGGTGATCCATCCATGAAGGCCTTCCATGTCCTGCTCACCCGCGACGCTGAGACTAGCAGCGTCCTCATGTCGACTTGCACTAATATGGACTCCAGGAGCTCCGGGATGGCGAGAACCGTCTCCACGGCACGGAGGGACGGTTGGTTTTCTGACATGGTGGCTTCCCTTTTCTTCTTTTCTCTTTCTTCACAAAAAGCTCGGGATGAACTGGTGAAGGAATGCACGCTAGACGGGTATGAAGAAGATGAGGAGAACACCTGCGCTTGGCTAACTTGCCGGCTCGCGCGGGGTTGTCGCTCTCGAGCCTCCCCTCGTCGCCGCGGGTAAGAAGAACCGTGTAAATTGATTGGAGATGATGACTAAGCCTTATCGACTACATATGATGATGCATGTGATGCTGCGTTGGGGTACGTTAGTCTTGGGACTAACCCATCTCACCAAGCTAGCGTACCACTCAGACGGAAATATTCTTTGTTGTTCTTGAGGCAATCTCGATTCATGAACATTAGGCGAGTCAAGATAAGCCTGCGCGCTAAAGGGCCATGTTATCCGTTTGACACATCTAAATAAGTACCGAAAAATACGAAATCGCAATACCTCGGACTTGTCTTTCATCACAAAAGTTGGAAGCTTCATGACCAGGACGGATTGAAACGACGACGAACATGGTTGAATGCCACGTCTCGCCGTGGGGGTTACATCATGGCTACAAAAAATAGTACGAGGATGCATAACGTCTCCAAGGAGGAGGCATTTCTGTGGCAGGTAATTCCATATTCCATTGATGACTGAGTTGAACTTCCTCCTCCTTTAAGACTACCAGAGATGATACAGTACCCGAGTTTTTACATAACTTTGCCAGCTTCCATCCCAGATCACAGCCTGGCTAGGCCCTTCGATTCCTAACAGGTGCTCCACTACTTCTCCTATTTGGGTCGCTGTATTGCGAGTGACTTTGAGTGAAACCTCGCCCCTCCAGCCTCGAGCCGCAAGATTCACGTTTCTATCGTCAAGTTGAAAGGCGAAAAATGCTGCGAATATCGTAGGAGTACTTAAATGTGCGTTTCTTCTTATTCTTCCCCCGGACCTATGAGCGAAGTCTGAGGCTACCTAGATTATCTAAGACAGTGCTGTCGACTATTCAGCTGTGCCCGACAAGTTATTAAGCCATGCAATCCTTGAATCATCCTCTTTGCTCCACATTCCCCCACACCCATGGCTCACATCTGCATTCTGTCATGCCAGTTGAACACCAGACTGATTTGTATTCATCATCCCAAGAGGGCTCAGCTGTTGACGCCGCGGAAAGGGGTGCTGGATGAGATTACTGAGAAAAAGTCGTACTTTTCCAAGCGTTCTTGGTCCCAAAATACGTATGCCCGCTCCCTGAGGCCTTCCAATCCGATTTGCACCACATGATGAGGCGCGATAAATTCCAGCGCCTTTCGAGGTCCTCCATCACCGTCGATATCCGATAAGTTCAGCTCTTGCCATGATGCATCCAGCTTGGTCTTATACCGAGCCTCGCTCTTATGAAAATGATGCAGCAGCCAGAGTTCTAGGTACAAATAAGATGGGAACATACGTGGTTCGCTGTGTAAGAGATCACTCTTCTCAACGTATGACTTCTTTTCGAGACTTCGAAGGTATACCTAGCCTCTGCAAAGCTATTCGAGCATCAGTAGAGCGTAAGAAACAAGGGGTAACCAAAGCAGGATGCGTAGACTCTCACCCATTCACCTGATTGACAGTCAGCTTTGGAATAAGCAATGTATATAATTCAGGCTTGCCTGTGTTGATGTACCGATGCTCGATAACGTCGTTGGCTAAAGCTCCTGCTGCAGCTGCCACGAATCGATCGCTCAGATACTCCATCGCTGCAACTAGCTGCTCGACCTCCCAGAGTGCAAGATCAGCCAGCATGCATGCCTCAAGGTTCAATCGGCCTCTGTTTTTGAACCGAACTCCTGACTCTAATGACACATCCCCTTGAGTCATATGGACATTCCTAGCTTCGTCAGAACCGTACATGGTGAAGAGGCCATGATAAAGCTCCACTCGATAAAAGCACCGGCAGAAGCGGAGCCACTCTTTCTGGGATAGATCCAGGTGACTCGGCATCGACTTCGTGGACGTCGTGTCGTTCAATGTGTCCGAGACGGCGGTCCAGGCTTTTTCGGCAAAATGGGATGCGAATTCGGCAATGAGCTCATGGGCTGCTTCCATAGCCAACAGGTGAGGAGGCGAGAATATCTGGAAATATCTTGTCGATGCAACAGCGCCTTCAAACGTGGAGCTGAAGACCAACGTATCTGCATCCTCAGGTGTCAAGTTGAGGGCATTGAACGTAAGTGCAAATTTACGAGCTCGCGGTGCATAGATCAATGCGACTGCATATGGTAGCAGCTGCGTGGGTATCTGTTTCCGAACGATTTGCTGGGCGAGACGAGGCCGTTGCGTGTATGCATTGTAGAACAACCGACAAGATAGCAGAGGAGCTTTAAGGTCCTGTATCTTGTCGAGCTGGCCAAGAATTTCCGCGACAATCTCGCATGGTAAGTTGGTAATCTTCATTATACACGCAGCGTAGTTCCGAAGGTCAACTTATGCCGTATGATTGCTGGTACGAGACCGTTGACGAGGGCGAAAACCTCTGGGCGTGTGAGGGAGTGGCAAAGCTTGAAGGTTTGCCTCACGCTGCGAAGGCCAGAAGGGCGTGAGAAAGTTCGATCTTTTCGTTGGGAAGGAGTAAAAGGAGTGACTGACCAAGGGGTGAAAGTCGCCAAGCGGCAGGAGGTAGGTAACATCTTGAGGTACCTTGCCTACCTAGATACCTACCCTAAGTAGCTAAGTAAGGAGGGCGAGAGGTACAATTCGTAGTTGTCAGGGAAGCTAGCTAGGTACCTTAGCTAGGTACCTTACCTAAGGTATCTCTCTTCTCAAAGTGTCTTAGGTAGGTGCGTGAAGGTTCAGCTCTTATGAGGAAGGAACTGAGAGGGAACCTACTAAGAAGGTGAAGTTGGAGCGGACACTGTCACACACCCAAAACTCTGGATACCTTAGGAGGACCGGAAGCGGCTGATCGACCCTGATTACTCATGCTCTTTTCCAGGCCCGCGATGCATTCCGTATATCTGGTAGTCCCGCAGCCTGACATTAAAGAAGGCCTTCATTCCAAGTCGCCCTCATCAGAATGGAAGGCCCACTCGTAAGCTGTCACCAGAAGTCAGAACCAGAAAGTGGCAACCGTTGAATGCTGGACAAAAACTTAAGAACCCTCAATCACTCACGAAGCGGAGTCGGAAAACTTGATTGACAGTACAAAGAAGTAAGAACAGATTCAAAACGAGCCGCGAGAAGAAGATATCAACCCACGATAGAAAACTCTAGGAACCCGCACACGCGCAGGAGTCCTTCACAGAACTCGTTTCTGTTCAACACACTCGACTACCAACTGAGGCGCCATTGAGATGTCCCCTGTCTCGGGGCTGCTAGTCTTCGAAGGAGAACTGTCAGACGTACCTTAATGAAAGAGAAAATGTTGTTGACTCCAGGGGAGTAGACGGTGGAGCCGAGACCCGCACCCGCCCCGGCTCCGGGTCTCCGCGGGTATGCGGACCGACCCCAGAAAGTGGACCCAACGGCGCATCGGGTGAGGCGCTCTGCAGGTTACGTGATCCACATCGCAGTCGTGTTACTTTCCCATTCCTCCCGAGGCTCCATTTCTTTTTTCTCGCTTCGGATCGCTGGCAACTTCCCCTGAGCTTTAAATGAAGGATCGGACGAACGACTGAAGAAAAGTAGTGCGAAATTGTGACGTGCTGACGCTTCCAAACCCAACCTGAGATCTTCTCTAAAGACCTGCAACGATTTTAAGCTCCGCAATTGGCTGCTACCACTCTGGGTAATCGATAGCTTTTTAGCACGAGGGAAATCTCAGTCGCGTCAAAATCACGCGCTTTTCTTACTCCGCCAGCAGAGCCAACGTAGCTTCCAGCAGTAGGATCGACAATCCGCGAGGAAAGGTGTCGCCGAAATGAGTCACAAGCATCAGACCCTCCGCTTCGCGAGCGACGCAACGGCGGGCGATGGTATCTGGGGCTATCCAACAAGCAAGGCAAAGTGAGCAAGGCTCCAAGATACCGAGTCGTCGTGATCACATGCTGACGTAGCACGTCTTTTCAGCTTTTGCGAAGAAGACTACATCTTCACGCGCTACATCGCAGAGTTCATCAATTGTTTATCCAATGCCACGTACAGTAAGTGACAGCCCTGCCACATCCATCCCTGTGCTCATCATGCTGAACCCTCCAACAGTCTACCTCGCCCTGAAGTACCCCAGGGCCAGCTCCAAGGCCGCGGTGCCATGGTACCGAACCCTCGACATCCAATCCATCGGCCTCCTCGCTGTCGGTATCTTCTCTGGCGTTTTCCACGGCACCATGCACCAGGAGACGCAGCTCCTCGATGACCTCTCTATGCTGGTCCTCGCCGGCTCGCTCGTACAGCCCCTGTACGCCTTCCGCCAGTCGCGCGCCGTGGGGGCCGCGATCACCACCATCCTCTGGCTCGGCATCGCCACCATGGCCGTCATCTACGTCCGCTCAGGAGACATCGCCATCCACGTCGCGACCTTTACCGGGCTGTTGACATTTGTCTGGCCGCGCACGCTGTTCATCGTCTACTGGACTGGTCGTTACTCGAAAGAGCAGCAGAAGAGACTGATGAAACAGTTCTGGAAGGCTTGTATCATTTTGATCGTGGGGTTCACGTTGTGGCATATCGACTTGGAGTACTGCGCTGAGCTGAGAGCCGCAAGGAAGAGCCTTGGATTGCCTGCCGCGTGGCTGCTGGAACTACATGGATGGTGGCACATCTTCACCGCTCTGGGCGCGAGCTGGTACATGAGGTTGATTCGGGAGCTGACCTCAGTCGAACAGGCTGAGACCGGGAAGAAGGCGCAGTAAATACTAGCGTGGCGAACTTCCCGCATCACTTCCTTCGACCCCAGCACCAATCCTCCGTCATGCAATGCGGCTTGAGTTACGCCCGTGGGTGAAAGCATCCCCCAATCAGCCTGGAAAGGTGTCAATATTGATAGACATCATACAGAACTTAGCGTTTAGAGGGCAGCGTTTGAAAGTCAGGACATCAGTCTATTGGAATCAAACAAAAGATAATTCTTCTCAACCCAGAGCATGACTGCTAAAGGATCTAAAACATCTAGCTCTTGCATTCCTCCCTGAAAACACACTGGAAGCCATCCGCCGCGCAACAAAAGTTGGGTGGTTTGCAGACTCCCTTGTTTCCTTGTGCGTCATCGCAAGCGACTTTTGAGGAGCAACATGTCAGCAACGGTCCGTCCACGTCCATGGTAACGCAAGGTGTGGCTTCAACTTACACGCGAGGGAGAGAAGTCCCGCTAGAATGACAAGTGCGCTTTGTTTGAACTGCATTGTGGCTGATGGAGAAAATGGTGTAAAGACTTGCTATAGTAGAGAGTTTAGTTATTTGACACTGGTGGTTGTACTTCCAAAAAGTCAAGTTCTAGATGCATGGGTCCATGCTTTTATACTGTCACAAAGGCTAGCAATTCGAAATTTGCAGGATCAAGCTGAGTTCACCGAAATTATCGTCTTGTCGGTATCGCCGGCGTACGCGTATAAGGACGAAGCCAAAGTCCCACACAATGCGACTCGCCTAGATGAAAGCTCGCCAGAACGGTGGAGCTGAGTTTCAAGGCACAAGCGAGTATGAACTGCAAACTAATCGATAGCATGTTCTTCCTATTCATAAGAACCGCCAGACTCCGCGTTTCAGCCCCCAGTAAGGCTGATGTACCAAGTGGCTGGATTCGATCAGCTGAGTCCCGTGAGTGCGCAGGTTTTCATGCAGCAGCGTCAGAAAGGCCGGGGTCCCTGACCCTTTGCACCAAAGCATTAGACATTGACAGCCGCTCCCGATGGTAACAATACAGTAAAGTCGTGCTGTCAATGAGGTTGATGAACTCACTGCATAACGTGGTCATGCTCCTGGTTAAGCTCCAAACACAAAATGGTGGGAAAACTCCCGGAAATTCGATTGAACATATCTAAACGAAAGTCAGGTATGGACCGTTGACCCATCGTAGGTCCACGGTCAGCAATAAGGTTTGGCTTCGCGTGCGGTAAAAGTGCTTTCGCAGCTGACAAAGACGGCGAGATAAGTTTCAGATATCTCCGCGTATAGGGCTGATCCAGAACCATATGGCTTCTAGAACGGTAGTGGTAAACTCTATTCTATTCTTGGACTTGCCCAAGATCCTGGGAACACACCAGATACTAGGATGAGCTCTATACTAGTTACATGACAACTGAGAGAGACCTGCAATGCCGACAGACCTGCTACCCTCATAGGACTAGTTGTGGAGTCAAGGAAACCGATCGATGTGACGCGGAGTATTCTTTTCTGCACTGTATGTTGCGTACTTTGAGTATCACTCGGTGGGAAATGTTACATGTCAACACGATCGATGCAATCTACGCAAGGATCATACCGCCTTTTGCAGATACCTATGCCTACATTATTCACCATGATGTCGACCCTGCACCATGCAGTCTGCTCGCAGCGTCTGTATGTATTGTCGCCGAAAGCGTTTTGTCTACCGGTCTATGGATGGCCTTTGTCTCGAGCTCCAGTGTTTCTCGTGAGAGACCTATCTATTTAACCCCGAAACCCCAATTGTCAAGAAAGTGTCCCCTAGCCTTAGGGTTGAAAGAAGTCTTGTAGCCATGAAATGTTTCGCTATCGCCTCAGCAACTACGATCCTCGTCGTGGCTAATTTGCCTTCGTTCAGGTGTCACGGGTGCCCCAGGCCTCGGTGCTCAGAGTGAGCCAAGCGTAGACGTCAAGAATGGGATGAGCGTTGTCCAGGAGGAAGCAGGCCCACATCTGGCGAGAAGTGAAGGGGAAGCGACGCGCAAAGGCGTTGTAGGTGCGGAACCAGCCCCAGATGTAGTAGCCCGCAACGAAGTAGCTGTCAGAGACAAGGTCAGTCATAGTCTATCAGAATAGGTCAGAGGGAGAAGAACCTACGCAATGGGAGACTTCTTGGCAAGGCACATCAAGAAGGCGATGATATGAACCCAGGCGATGATAGGGCGAAGAAGACGCTCAATGATCTTGCGAGCCATGTAGGGGTGCTTCCTATTTGATTGTTAGCTTTTTGAAGCCTCATCTCGAAGAGAGCATGGGAAGGAAGTCAAGGTAGCGTCAACTTACTGCTTGATCTTGCGGATGCCAGGCTGGTAGATCACAGTCGTGAGAAAGGACTGGATGGCGTTGCGCTGCCAGCGGATCATCTGGTACAGCAGACCAGAGTCACGCATAACGAGGGTGGTAATCTCAGCCTGGGGGGCATTCTGAACAGCAATGTCCCAGCCCTCGGTCTGGAGCCAGCGAGTGAGGAAGACATCGTCGCCAGTGTTCATTAGTTGACCATTCCATCTATCATTGGTGATGGTCTCCATGAAGCGAGGGTCCTGGGCAATATCGGTGCGGACCATCATGGTGCGACCGACCATGCACCAGCAGCCGCCATCAGCAGCGGAGCGAACGGCCTGGACATTGTTCTGGTTGTCGAGAGAGCGGAGGGAGGCAACCTCCCAGGGAGTGATGACGGCCGGGTTGCGGCGGTCAGAGCTGATGAGAGCGCTGTGAAAGTCAGCACAACGCCACGAGAATAATCAACTCTCTGAAAGGAAAAAGCCAAGGGGAAAAGGAAAAGTTTCACATACCTCTGTTTGCCAGTGACGCCGCCGACCTTGGGGTCCTCAAAACCAGCCAAGAGGTAGGGCAGCGTCTCCAGAGTGCCCCAGAAGGCATCATCGTCGACGAGGGCAAGAATCTTGCCCTGGGCCTCCTTGATGCCAACGACCATCTGATAACGCTTGCTGGCGTACTCGGCAGTCATAACGCTGATGCGATCATCGCCCTCAATGATGACGGGCTTGACCAAGTCATGGACACGCTGGAGGTCACGGTCAATGGTGACAATAATGATCTCCTTGGGCTTGTTGGCAAGCCAGAGACGAAGGCAGTCGGTGAATGTGTCGGGGGTATTGATAGTAGCGACGATGATGCTGACATCAGTGGTCTTGAAGCTGGGCTCCTGGGGAAGGGGAATGGGCTTGGCCTTCTGCATGAGCTTCTTGGTCAGAACCTCATCATAGGCATACCAGGCCCTGTGGAAAAACAAGTCAGCTTGTCATTCTCATTTTCAATGTGAACGAGAGAGAAAGGAAAGACTTACCACATGGCACCAAGAATGTATTCAGACATTCCGAGTATCTTGGTTGCGTGTTGCTTGGTGTGTGAAATGGTTTGTGTGATTGAGGAAGAAATAGCGCGGGTAGGAGTTCCTTTGTCGCGAAGGACCGGGTTGATTATTTGTGAGAGGAAGAGAGTTCCTGGGAGGGAAGTGAGAGGAAGGATTTTATCGAGGGAAGAAGGCCGTCAAAAGGAAGGCGCGCGTGAATATTCACTGGATTGACAGATGAATAAGATGAGTGGGTGGTGATCCACTTCAAAGAGGCCGAAGATGAAGTTTGAGGGTAAAGTTCAGATTGTTTTCCCAATTTTGGAAGGAGCGGGACGGCAGGCCAGAGCAAATGTAGCCTGACTGTTTCTTCTGGTAAGAAGAGCTTCGAGGGCTCAAAGTCCCTAGGTGACTGCTGTTGTTTGGTGTGGATTGCCTGACCGATTATGTAGGGAATGGCAAGTCGAGTGTTATTGGAGTATGTGACACTTATATGATGAGATCGTGATTTTGAGATCGACTGGGTACTCAACACAACATTCTACTCATGTATTTTATCATGACAATTCGTTGTGTCTGAGAGACCAGTAAACACGGAAAAGGCAAACGAGATGAACAAGACCAAACATCATTCCTTTGCTGCTCAATTTCATCATAATGCACTTCAAGTCTTGCAAAGCAAAATTTTCTTTTCAACCTACAGAGTTGGTTTGCAATGTCAAGTCCTTTGGGACTGACGCGACATAGAGCCTTGTTGATGATGAATGGAACACTTATTCATACGCTCAAAGCTGTTTCGTTGTATTTCCAGTACACAGACCAATATCCACCCGCAACCTGTAAACATGAAAGCCAATTTTTGGTAGGCTATGTCCTCAATTATGCCTTCCTCAAGCGACCCGCATGCGAAAGGCCTGAGCCACAAGCGCCGCTTGCTCATCTCTCACCAACTCCCTCTGACGACGACGAACCCTCCTCCACTTCCATACAACAGCGGCTACAATAGGGATGAGAAAGACGCCAAAGACCTTGAGTCCATTCTCATTCATGTGGCGGCGACTCTCATGAAGCTCAGCCTCCTGCAGACCAAAAACGCCGCTCACCCATTTGCAAACGGTCTTGTCTCTCAGCTGCTGCGGAATGGCGAACATCTCGAACTCTTCCGCAGGATACACTGGGAGAAGTATCTGCATGAGCTGAATGAGAACTAGGAGTTCGGTGAAGGCGATGATGGCAACTTCGTCGGGGATGGGGATGACGGCGTCCGAGATCTTAGCGCTGAGGCCGTAGAGGGTGATTACGAGATCGAGGGCGAGGAGACCAACGGTCAAGCACTCCCAGGTTCTTATAGTGTGATTGATAGTCCGTATGAGCTTGTTCATGGCGGTTTCGCGTTGCTCTGAGGTGCAGATGCCGTACCACGCGTCCCGAAGCGCGCTGCGGAGGAGGGTTTCTGTCATCTTCTCGCACAGTGAATTCCCTAGAGACAGTCTATGTTCTGGGATTTGTGGCCGGATGGCGAGTGCTTTGTTTTTTGCTTCAGTCGCTTTTAGGCTTTGCTGAGATGTGTTTCAAATCTTCGCCTTTTTGCAGGCTGATGGGGCTGTGGGAGCCTGAGGATCGTAGCCGATGAGCACAGGAATTGAGAGAAAGGGAAAATCAAACTTACACTCAGAGGCCGCAACCGGCCGTGGTTGCTGGGGTGAGTGTCGAGGGTGAAGCCGTACACATAAGTCCAAAGGTGCAGTATGTCCCCTTCACTTCAACTGAGCAAGGCGCCAAAGAGGTGCCCGTGTATGGTTCCAATATCATGTGGATAGTATGCGCTCTCAGGTTTTCACGTGATGCGTCGCTGAGGATGGCATCGGTAGTCCAGCAACATGGCGAAGCCTGAGCCTGGACAACATCTGGAATAAATAAAGGACGCGGACGCGTAGTTTTAGATGCATACCGGATTGAGATAGAGATAGGGGCTTTCCCCCTCAGTTCTTACCAAGGCCTTTACTTCCTTGACGTTCTGAGTGGTTATCGGGTTGTCAAACCACATGCTTCCGTCTTGGAATGGTACAGGTAGAACGGCGACGACCGATCTTGCGAAATGTCAGGAAAGTGATGATGTGGACAGCGAAGCTGCAGTCAGTCATCAAGTCAGTCATCATAAGATCCGTCCGTAGGGGATCCAGGAAGCCGAGCTGCTGCGTGAAAGCAACAATGAGGTTCTGGATGAAAGACGCCTTGAGCCTGTTAGAGTATTGGAATACCCATAGCGATGACGACGGTTCGACAGAGGTTTATTCCTCTGAAGCAGTCTTTGAACGAGCTCGCTTCATACAGTTCTCTTTGCTCCTCACTTGAGCTTTGAGAAGTTGCACTTCTTGTGGGATGGTTTATGGGCGGATTGAGAGTCTCTTGAGCACTCTCTCTGCCTCTCCGTATTTCCCACGGTAGATGAGGTACCGATGAAGCCCTAGAAGGAACGGGAACATAGTTGCGTATCTAATGGGGACGAATAGCTGGCACATGATTACGATCCTGTTCAGTAGCATGTAAGCGGCTCCTTGTACCCATAGCTGCCCGGAATCCTTACAGATACTGCCATTGATCAGTCCGACAGGGAAGTTGCAACTCGGCCGATGTTCTGCTCGTCTGTGCGGGGCAGAATCTCTCTACGGAGATCCCTCCGGCGTTTTGGGCGGGATAAGCTTATTGCGACGATCAAGAGATGACAGGGGTAGCCAGCTTGCCTGTATCATCTTTCAAAAGGGGCAAAGAGTGGCTCTCGCTTCCTTCTTCGCAAAAGATCCTCCATGGGAGCCGAGTGACCAACGCACGATCATGCAGATACGAGCCGAGCAAAATTACGCAGCCGAGGAGCCAGGGTGGTATTCAGGGTTGGGGACGAAAAGATCTTGTTTCCAGCCCGCACGTCACGTTGTCAATTATTCGATAAACTTATGTCGGCATGAAGAGATTTGTAAATAGTATATGCACATTGACTAACTAGAGCCACAATGAAGAATAATGTACTATCGAAAAGGAAAACACGCTATGTTCAGAGAGCACCATCCACCACTGACAAACTTCACGCTTAGCAGATGTTGCGAGCGCCGTTGCCGGAAAGGTTCCACTTGATGTTCGTGCCGCAAGGAGACTCGCGGACAGTGGTGCCGTCGACCTTGGCGGTGATGCTGATGTCGCGGGTGATGGGGAACTCGGAGCGGGCAGAGAGACGGACCTCACCGCCGCCGTTGACGGTACCGCCCTTGATGGTGACGCCGTAGCAGTTCTCAATGAGGATGGCGTTGTTGCCGTTGTTCGCGAGATCGATGCTGCCAATCTCGGCGCCGCCAGACTGGGAGACGCAGAAGATGCCACGACCGCCGCCGCGGGAGACGACTTTTGTGACGTAGACGTTCGTGGTGTAGGCGCCACTGGCGAGCTGGCCATTGTTGTTGGCGAAGCGGAGGGTTCCGTAGCCGGTGCCGGCACCAACGTTGTTGCCATCGACGAGGCCGACCTTTGCGTTGGTCGTCTTTTGGAGCAGCAGTCCCGACTCGCCGCAGTTCTTGGCAATGACTTGGTCAATGGTCAGGCCGTCAATGTTCCAGGTCTCGACGGCGTGGCTGCCGGCGCCGTTGACGGTGATGACTCCCATCTTGACGTTGGTGTTGGCGGCTTGGTCGCGGTCGAAGCGGATGCCGATGCCGCCGCTGAGGTTCATGTTGATCGCGCCGAGGGTGAGGTCCTTCGTACCGTAGAAGCGGAGACCAAAGTACGGGTTTCCGGTCATGGAGAGGTAGGGGATCTTAACGCCCGAGGCGTTGGTGACCTCGATGGCGCCGCGGCCGGATCGGAGGGCGACATTGATGGTTCCGCAGCCCTCGAAGGTCTTCCCGCTCTGAATGGCGATGGTGTTGGCACCGATGGAGCCGGAGGCGATGACGGAGACGCGTTGGCCGCTGCTGATGGAGTCGACGGCGGCCTGGATGGCAGCACGGTAGTCGGAGCCGGAGTAGACCTGGCTGGAGCCCTTGGTGGCCACGAAAGAACTTCCAGATCCAGTGACCTTTGCGTCGGGCGTGCCGGAACCGCACTGGGCGGCAGCAGAGGAGGCGAGCGCCAGCACTGCCGTGAGGAAGGATGACTTGACCATGATTGCGGGCTAGATACACGGGTATCAATAGAGAGGAAGAAGAAGTAGAGTGTAAGGTACTTCAAGGCCCTCTTCTTTAGAGAATTTCGGCACGGCGACACGTTTATATCTGATGGCCCCCAACGACTCAACCAGGTGGATACTGCGATGCTCCAGATGCGCGCCACTCCGGTAGATACTCATATGAGGCAAGCACGTTTGTTGGAGGACGAAATTGGCCCGGCCCCTAGACCGGGAATGCATCCTCCGCATTCATTTACCACGAGCTTGGAGGCGGCTCGGCATTGCTACGGAGTGGCTACGGTTGAGCCGGGGGTGAGCGCCGGTTGGACAGAAATTGGGAAACAGGGTCGCCAGTTCGGTTAAGAGCTACACGAATGGCACCCTAAAGAAGCAAAGTGGAAGAGCGGATGGCTTGCTCTGAGAAAACAGACCTTCCCGATTCATGCTTTTGAAACTTCCGTCCCTTGGCTAACACGTTGGACCTTGGCACGACGCTGTCTTCGCTTGGCGTCACCTGTGAGATGATCGACAGAGCTGCTCTAAGAACCTCTTAAGACCACAATTGATGGAAGTTGAATGGGAGGAGTTAATATTCCGCTTGAGCTAAGCACAACGTTATTGCTGATTGACTGGCTTTCAGTATTTGGTATTACTCTCCAGTTCGTGATTTTATATGCTCAGAGTATTCACTTGGCAACGCCTGAAGTCAAGTCTTGATGCATAGCACTATATTCAACGAAATGTCAAGCCTTGGCAGTACAGCGTACATGCTGGCGCAAGGGGGAGCGTCTCATATTGACAATACTTTTTACTTCGGGCCACAGCCGCTTCCTGGTGTGAGCTTGACTGTCTCACGAACGCTAGGTCCCTCAATTGATCCACTGAGTGAATAACGTCATCTGAAGCTGTTTCTTGGGTGCTCTTGGAGATGAGACTGGTAGAGTTGCGGTTATAACACCTACAGTTATTGGGCAGCGGAAACGGGAATTTCGAGACGGGTTCTTCGGCTCGCGCTTAGATGCCCCGGTAGGAAGCAATTAAACATTGGCCAGTGGCATGGTCTTCTGGGCAGATTGGTAGGCTTTATTTAGTGGGCTCATGCACGATCCTCTTCCCCCCGCCTTTTTGACTGATTACTTCGCGCCTCTGCCGACACTCTGCAGATTCTCGTAGAATTTCCGTTCAGCTCCTGTCACTCGCAGAGCCAAGCGTGGCTTTCATAGAGCGATGCTTGAAAGCCACGGTATATGCTCAAACGCTTCTGTTCCTTTTTAGCGGGAAGACAAGTGTGGGGAGAGCTGGTCCTGACAAGAAAAGGTCGAATTAGTCCGTCTTGGCGCGCTACAACCCCTCAGCCGGCAGATACGAGCTCGATTCGTGACCGGTGCAGGGGGCTTTGGGTGAATACTTTAGTGGCTGCTCATGCTGTCGCCTAGTGCCAAGCAACGTTGAGATTGGGTTCAAGGCGAAGAACCAAGTCTAGCCGGAACCTACTCTAGTGAGAATTACAGGCGATCCTTTACGATCTTCCTGGGCCATCAGGTGACCATGATGACTCGGCATTCGGCCAAAACGGGGCCGATCTAGGACCCGAGGGAAAGAAAGAGGCTCCTAATCCTCAAAGGGCTGGCTGCTGTGAGAACTCTGTTCCCATGAGAGCAAGGAGAGCAAGGATCAGATCGTAGGCTTGACATTCGTTATGTTCAAAGTATGGCAAAAGGTCTTCTCCTTCAGGTAACAAAAACAAATCAACATCCATGCGCGTACTGCCGTCGTCCCCGTCTACCGGCCCTCGTTTCTGGCCGTCGCGATGGGTAAGAAAAGTTGGACTTGCAAGCACTATGCTTGGGGCCCTCAACTTTGACTTTCCGGCTTGAGTCCTTCTCCGAATTTCGTATTCGTCGATCTTGTGAGATACATTCAGGGTTTATCCCAGACTCATTCTGTCGCGTGAAGTTAGTCAGCGAGGGTTCCCTCCAGATACTCCTCGAAGCTTCCCTTCTTTTCACTGTATAGTAGAACATTAAATCAAATTGAATCGAGTCAAATCATATAGTGCGCTATAGCGGCCAGGTGCCAGTGGGGCACGTCCTAGTTCCTTGTTGGGCCGTAACACTTTACTAGAACGAGCCTATAAGGATGGCCGCAGCTGCGGTTTGTATGGCTGTGCTTCTGAACTAGCAGTGGAATCGCCGTCCTCTTTGTTCTGGCTAACCTCAGCCGCCGGGCTGTTGAATGGGGTTATTGAATGACCGGGGCTTGGGGCCGGTAGAGATGTCGCTCCCAAGGGCGCATGAGATCGGTGGTACGCATTGGTGAGTGGGTAAGCTTGAAGGATAGTCTGCCATCAGATAGGCACAGGCTGATTGGTTCAAACCGTGGGTTGACGAAGATGTCAGTTGCACTATAATATCTTCTGCGTAAGTGTATAAAGGAGGTTCCAACCGTAGGTTGGGCAGGCCGCGATTATCGTAAGTAGTGGCCGTAGTTGGCCCCTGCGCGGGCTCCCTGACGTCGAGGTCGAATTGGACTTCCAATCCGACAGTCTCACTTTGCTATTGGTGATATTTCCCACCATAGCCTCTACGTAGCACAGGGGCCCGGATCAGAAGCCGAATACTGGGGGATCAATGTGATCGTAGCTTACGTATCACATGAAAAACCTTGGTCAGTTGGAGGGGTCGCTTGTAGCGTGTTGTATTAAGATATCACGACCTTTGTAGAACGTATCACTAGAAAGCCCTCGAGGCTTTCCCAAATCGGCAGACATTTATTGATGTACGTAAGACTGTCCGCTTGCACAAAACACTTAGTCAATGTAATCAGTACGCTCTAAGAGTGCTCTTCTCCATAACCCATTACTCAGGTCCCAAGACTAGGTACGAACTCGAAGTTGTCGGTCCCACAGTAAGGTATACATGGGCAAATCCCAAGTCTGCAAGTCACTCGTTCTCGCTACTTCCTTCGGATTGGTATTCGTATGTCATCCAACTGGCTGGTTGGTATTACTATTGATGATTCTTCATAGGCGGACGCTCCTGATTCTATACGGCTCCCGTCCACAAACAACACCTTGGCCTCGGCCCACACTTCACTATTCCTGAATCAATTATCCGGAGCAGGATACAAGTACTTGGCAGGACTGAGCACAGTACCCACAAATATGCGACGGCAAATGTGTTGAATGATTTACATGTTATTTGGACCCTTAACGTGGCAATTCCTATGAAGCAAAGGAACAACTTTTCAACCTAAAGGTTTGCTATCTGCATCCTCCAATTTCTTCATGCTTTTGTTGGTTGTCAGTGGACGTACGAAAGGTAGTTCTAAGGTACGTCCTCCAGGTCGTATGTTGATTTAGTTATCATGCGTGGCTGCTATTTTGAAACTGAGGACTGAAAAGGTTTGACCTTTTTTAACTATCTGACGAAGCAGGATTTGCACCTAACCTATTACTTGCTTTGAATGTGAAGATGTGGCTGGACAAATCCATTGAGCATGATCCCAACACCCATGACGGAAGGTAGATTACACCTAGGATACATCGCAATAGATGGCGGTATTGACGTTGTGCCACTTAGAGCAATCGAAGCATGTAGAGTCCCCACCTCCAAAGTTTCTGCAGAGATTATAGAAGGCTCTGCCATCGATCCATCCATAGGCGGCTTCCAACTAAGATACGAACTTTAGTATAGGAAGACCAGAGGCCTGGCTGGGGTCTTACAAATGCGCCTGCAAATCGGGGTCCGGGACCCTTGTCATGGGCAACCCAATAATCTCCTTCAGCCTGACCTATAGGACTGTGAGAAACTTGAAGCCCATTAGTGCGAGCTACGTACCCCAAAGGTATTCAGTGCTGTGAAGACTGCGGACCTGTGCGGTAGCATCAATGTTGATGCTTCCATCAGTAGCAGACTGACAGGCACAGAACTGGTGATTTTTCGCTAGCCTATAATCCGGTTAGTACGCACATATGCGACATGATAAGTGGCAAAAGGGGAAATTTACACTATGCTGCAAAGAGCAAGCATGGAGGAGGCGGAGAGGATATGCATCGTCGTAGTAGGTCGTTGATTGAATACAACAAAAGGTCTTCGCCGGATTGGTATGGTAAATACAGGAAAGGGGTAAGCGAGTGGTGGAATGCCGCGAGTTTAAATAGGTTTTCCTGTCTTCTAGCAAACGGCTTCTGGTCAAAGATTGCGTTCCAGCCAGCGTTCAAAAGTGGAAAGGGTTAGGCTAGGGAGGTAAACCGCAAATTAGCATTACAAAGTCAAGCGGTTGAGAATTGCCGGTCACGAATCATTCAACATGTTTTTTCCTGTCTAAATCGCTCCCATTTCAAGCTGGCTAAAAGGTAAATTAGATGATGCTTCAGCAAGCCTTCACCAGATGAAATCGCCATGCACGTTGATTGATCATCAAGAGCCAAGATGCGAGTAGACTAATGATATTCCGTAGCAAGCCACAGTGTGGATTTCCCTCGCTGTAAATGCCGGATGAAGATATCTGTTGGCTAAATTGTGTTGTGAAAGCTTCTTTGTCACTGGCAAAGGTCAATGATAACTACGAATCCCAGTGTTGCGACCAGTGTGGTCACTCACTCCCTTACTCCGCCGTATAGCTGAAGAATAAAGAACAAGGTACAAGTGATAGAGTTCTCATTCTGTTGGAAAGCAGCCTCGTATCCTAATTTGACAAAGGCGACTAATAGATGACTCCGTAATGAAGGTTCAGGTTCCAAGTGAATATCCCACATGAGCCGTTGCTATGCAGCGGTCGCACTGAAGATCTTGACTTCAAAATGAACCTTATGGACCGGTTAATGGTAGAAGACATGGTCAAGCATCTGAACTACATTTTACACTCGGTGTGTTGCGCCGGACTGCCCGAGTCTCAGAGAAGTGTTGAGAGTATAAGTAGGCAGAGCCATCACCCGCCATTTAGCCTGGTATCAACTACCACACGTCCTTCATTAATAACCGCCAGTATGCGCTATCTTCTTTTTTTTGCTCTGGCTGTCTCGTGGGTATGCTCGGTCATCGGGCTACCTACTGACAACGGCAATCCGCCGCCTCAGTTGCAGGAACGGGGACTCCCATATTGCCTTTTCCCCTCCCGCCGCCCGGCCTCCACATCGTTCACTAGATCTTTTACAAGCGATCCCATCAGCAGACGTCGCGGGCATTTTGGTCCCAATGCCTACGAGAGCGCTGGTAATTCGCGGCTCAACTACCGCATTTGGGAGGACCCTGTTGGCCTCACTGGTTTATATACCGTCATTGACGTCGCTGCGCCAGACGGGCATCCAGCCCTCGCCAACTACGAAATCGAGGTCCGTCGGATTCCAATTGCGACACCTAACGCGGCTGGAGAGTGCTTTCAGACCATGACCCTCCGATCCGGTCAGAGAGGCGCAGCCACCGTCCGGTGGAGGCTGGACGCGAGCTACACGTACTATCTGACCATCTCGGAGGTTTGAGACTGTATTACCTACAAGAGAAAAGAAATCTGTAGATTCTATGGTACTTGCCGCAAATTTTCGAGATTTGGTCCAGTCTGCTAACCCTGTCTAGAACCCAGACCATCTTACTGGGGATCGCCTAACGCAAAACACACTTCACAACAGTTCAGGGGCTATTCGGCACAGCCTCTTGACTGGGATTTCGATGAGCAGAAGCTGAGGCTGATACTCAACAGTAGCTTTGGGGTCGTTTGAATAGTTCTGTAGGTTTTTGTGGGATATGGTTCAGTATGATCAGTAAGAGACTTATTCAAGAGATGGGCAGTGGAGTTTCATTCAATGCTTAAAGCGGATGTAAACCTTGAAGAAGTACGTTGAATAGTAATGGAAGTCCGGCTCTCAAGCCCAGCTCGGGACCATTACATATGAGCCCTGGAGATTCTTTGAACAGTTGTCGCCTTGTCCTATTCTTGGTGCTTACCGTGTTAAAGAGGAGCGCTCATTTGTATTGCCCACGAAGTGCGCATAATACATGATAATGACCTCTCATTTTGCATATTTTTCAATTCCCATGGCCTGTTGCCTTGTATAATATCCTACGCCGATGCCCACGGAAAAGATCCCACTAGGATTTCCTCTTTGGCCGAAGCATACGAGGAGTCGTCACCCACATCTGCCCGTACCGGAAAGGATAATAAGCCTTGCCGCATATGCTACTACGATGCTGCGAGTTTTGGCAGTCCCGACACCAAAAACTTGGAGTGTTTCTAGAATGATTTTTAACGCCGTGACGGCCGGACCGAAGGCCTCCGCAGACCTCCCGAAGGATACATGGTCTGGAGGGCCGTGGGCCGAGGTTATCTACTCTACAGTACATTGTCTCTGTACATATTCTTCCAAATCAGGCCTTGAGACCACCAAGTGTTCTATCTTCTATAATTCCGAGGAGAGTGCTTTGCGTACGATCAATATCGACCAAAGCTTATGTCATCCTGGAAAGACTCAGAGTTTGTAGTAAGGTATTGATCATTCGCGCGTTTGTTAGTGCTGTTACTATCTAATACACCCACGGGCTCACTTGGATGTGTAGCATGGCATATGTACGCGGCTGTGTTGTACCCGATGTCAAAAGAGTCATGAGCATCCCACCGCTCATTGATTAATCTCAGGAAGGACAATCAAGGCGTGCACTCGCCCTGTTGTTGGTTAGCGGCCGATGGGATAACTCAAAACAGTATGAACAGCTGAAACTCACGCAATCTTCAGCTATCGTGACCTCCGTGCTTCGTACTTTTCCCAGCCATTAAGGTTCTGGTTGCCGAGATGAACACCTTAGGCTGAAAACATCTTGGATAAAATTGTAGTCAGTCATTAAATATATATTCCTGCGGGCCACTGCTTCCACTCAAACATGCTACCTACTAACTTTCACTCCACCAACTTCTCCTGCCCGCTCTCTGATTCACTATGCACATCTCTGTTGTGCTTTCTCTCCTGGCCGCCGCTGCGGTCCAGGTTGCCGCCAAGGACTTTTCTGCTACTTGCTTTGACACGTACTACGAGTCGACCACGGTTACATCTTCCTGCTTCCGGACTGGTGGGGATAGTGGTTACACGACCCGGTTGGATATGACCAAGTGCCTTGCCAACGTCGGTGGCAAGCTTGTTGTGCGTCATTTTCCAAGTCTGCTGCGACTATTTAATTACTACGAATGCTAACTCAAATTTCTTCACAATTGCAGTGTCGTCCCTCAAAGTAAGTTGAAAAAGCATCTGTCTACGATTCCTCCTATCTAACGTAGCTGGCTAGTCCTTCTTTCAAGTACTGCGACTGTGGCATTGCAGACAAGAAGATCCTCAACTGCCGCTGTACCGATTCAAAGGGGGTAAAGCAGCAGACATCTATCGACCTCGGTAATTTCCTGAAGAAAACCTCGCGCTGTAGAGGCGACCAGAAGCTAACATGCGCTAGACACGTGCTTGAGTAATAATGACTCTGAGTTAGAATGCAAGTGAATGCATTGCACGCGGAGGAAGGGATAGGAAGTGTGATGCGGTTGTTGTTACTAAGGTGTCTAGAAGCTAACATTCCTGATGGACTTGGGTACTTATTTGTATTACCTTGAGGACTGTGATGATCTTCGAGCTAAAAAGGCTTCAAGCGTAAGAACTGCTCAAAACATCCTTGTTTACGATGTCGACTGTGAGGAGGTTGCCCAAAACAACTGGTGAATCTTGGTAGTTTGGTTTGGTCCCCTTGATCTCGGGGGTCGCGACATGCTCAAACTATTCCCTGATAGTCTCAGCAAAAGCTCCCTTAACATGTCTTGAATCAATAGGGCGGCGTCTCTGGACCTTGATAGAGTGGTTCCTTTTTACAAGGCTTATGAACAACCTTTTCCCACTTTTTTAAATCGTTAGAGGCCCGTAGCACGCGTTCTATGAATTTCTTCGTTTGTTGATGCGTTAAATCAACGCCTAGAATATGTTGTACGCGTATTTCAACATCCAAATGCCTCTCCTGGGTTTGGGATAACCTTTTGAGGTCAGCGATTCCCTTTGCCCTAGATTAGTGCCTTCTATGCGATATCTAAGTATTGGTCTGGGAATTCCTCCGTTGATGGAGGCTCTGTTGACTCATTCTCCGTATGCAAAATCCGCGAGTGCGTGATCAAGCTCATGTTCGATGGATTAGACCACTCCCTGCAAACGAAAGTATTCTCAGAGCAGAAGAAAAGTGAGAGCATTCGGACCAAAGTTCTTAATGTTGTGATTGATTGAACTGGGAGTAATAAGGTAGCCGGGCATGATATCAGGGGGTTTTTAGGGAGAAATGTTAGAGGTAGCTACTTAGACCCGGCAACAGACGAGCCGGCGCTTCCCTATGATCCATAGTAGGGATTCTCAATTTATTACGCTAGGACAATTGAAACGTAAGCCTGAGTCATTCCATCTCACTACCGAAGTTAAATAAATAACGTGATAATGGAGTGTAATCCGTTGTACTTTGCTTATATAGTCTCGTGAGGACGATGAATTGGCCGGCCAGGTCAACCTCGTCATACTCATCCCATCTTGTCATAAATCTCTATCTCTACTACAACTCCCACTCTGGTTGCTATGACGCCACTCTCTTCACTCATTATACTTGCTGGATTTGTCGTAGCAGCACTAGGCCTGCCGACAGACCAGACTACTGGAGGAGATTCCAAAGTCCTTGAAGCACGGGTATGCGATCTCAACCCCACCCCCCCTGAGAATTTCTAATCACAAACGTGGGGATTTTCAGAGATACTGCCCTTTCTTCAACATGAATTGCTTCCCCAGCGGAAACACGAATGATCGTACGGGATGCCGACAGCATTGGTGCTCGCACAGCTGTTCTTGCCCGTCCGGCTGGGCCCGAGAATGCACCCATATTACCGACCTCACCTGCGGCGGATTCTAGTCGAGTTGCGTCAAGCACGAGAGAAGTACTGCATAGGTAGATCCTGGGGCGAATTCTTGCCAGAACGATCTGCGTGGTGTTGGTATGTAGTGTTGATATAAGGTTGCAGCATCAACGTTCTGGTGTTTGTATATCACTTGATGAACGGCTGGACAAATGCATAAATCTTTTGAAATAGCTTTAGAATACCTTATGTCTATTAAACTGAACGGATCATAACGCCACAATGCGCAATATTCTTGTCTTTCTTATAGTCTAACGAGCGCAACTTATCTACTCCCATAGTGATAACCTAAATCCCGCTTCCTTGCAAATTGCCTGGAAAGATAGGAGACTTAATCTCGTTCATAGTCCGAAGCAAAAATGAGGGTGTCAGCGGTCTTTGCGAGCAGAGTCGTGTGAAAGATAAGGCTCTTGGGGTCGAGAATGCTGCTGCTCAAGCACGTGATGCCCATAGGCCAGGTTTTATGTTACTACTCAATGATACTGAAGAGTCAGCTGGAATGGCGAGGAGACGCTCCCCGATCCAGTTGAAGAGATATTGGTACTTGAAGATGCCATCCCTGTCACACCAGCATATGTAACGAATATTAATGATCAAGTCAATCTTTTACTCTATTGATGGGGCAGAACCCTACCGATCCGACTCCGCTGAAACTGTTGCAAGATCTGAACTCAAAGATATCGAAGTTCAAGCGCCGAAGAAAAGAGAGCTCTGGACACCAATGATGCTGAGATATTCATTCACCAGTGTTGTATCCCTCTACCACTTTTTTGGGGTTCTATCATGGCTAAGTCCTGGAAAATGACAATCTTCGGCACATCACTTGGCTAAAGAGCCCTTTCACCCCTTTACGGAGCATGAAAATAATAGAATACGCTTCAACAAGCGTCATATAGCCTCAATAACCAGTCTTTACGAATTTCTCAGTGTGCCTTAGGTATGCCACTCTCTTATGCTGGAATGATCCAGTTGCACCGTCTCTCCTTCCAAAAGTTTCCAAGTTGACGGCGAAAAACGTCGACTTGCGAACAACCCTTGCTTGAGATCCGTATACGCAACATTAGTGTTTTTTTTAAGCCTAAGTATCGAGAATATAGACTGCTTTGCGGTTATTGTCCCAGCCCTCACTTTATACTTGTCTATATATTTATGGCGAGTTTTTGTAATACCTAGCTATTGCGCCTTATCATAAGTTAATGCGAGCTTTGATAACTACACTGGACTCTCTAGTATGGCTGGCTTCTCACCCCCAATATGTGCGCAGGTTGTCTGGAAATTTACGAAACTTTCCTTCGACTTGGTCGATAAAACCTATCAACTCCGCAGGTTTCTGGGAGATCTGGGTTGAGATAGAGAACGCTCGACTTGATTGAAGCACATTTGAAGCCTAACTTTCATTCGCCCCTGATGTGAGATTATGATCACAGCTATTTGATATGTGGAGAGGAATTCCCAAACGGTCGTGTGCATTCAAACTGATTGAGGCGGCGGAATTAACCTCTTGGCTTCGGTACATATCTCGTTCATTGCTTCTTGTAGCTTTGCGAATGATGACTTTCTAGGCTGCTGGTCGATGCATTTAGGGTCACTGAACTTGGTCAGCTTGGGAAACAACGCCTAAAGTCCACGCTCACTTCTGTTCAAGAAATTGGAGAGAATCGGAGCGTTTGATGCTCCTTGTGATCTGGTCAGCTTTGTAGTCTCGTCAACCAACATCTCTAAGCATTCCATCCTTGGGCAAGAGTGGTTATTCTTTCCTGTTTCATCTGTGGAGCGGCAGGGCGTACCGAGATTGGGCACGCTCTCGGCGCTGATATTGGCCGACCGAGCACAAGGGGCTCTGTGCTCCAACTCCCCCCCTCTGGAATGTACAACGTGGTCCCAATTAAATGGGACACACCGCAACTTTCGAACACCCAGCTAGGCCCCCGACTTAACCACAAGCTAAGCCTCCAGCTCACATGTGAGATTCAGCCTTAATGCGCCATCCCTAACGCTCTGCCGCCCTTCCAATAGACGTCAAAGACGACCAACGTATCTGTACTTCGTGGAGGGACGTTTGCACGCACATTCAGAGACGCCCATAATGCCCTCCATTCTCGCCACGGCGATCCAGTCTTCTTTACTCAAGGGCACCGCAAACTTCACGGCACAGATCGTCAACCAGCACAGGCAGGCCGGCGGCAGTGCCGGGGCCCCGCTCGACGTCCGTCGCGTCCTCGAGTTCGCGACCTTTGGCTTTATACAGGGCCACATCAACTACTGGTGGCAGCACTTTCTCGAAGACCAGTTTCCCAACTCGGCGTCGTCGGCCCGCGGCAGGGGAAGGAAGGCGTCCATCGTTGAGCCCAAGATCGAGAAGCCCGAGAAACCCGAGAAGGCGGCCCCCAAGAACTATTTCAATGTCGCCCGCAAGGTGCTTGTCGATCAGACCGTCGGCCTGTTCATGATGAACTCGGCCTTTCTTCTCATCACGTCCGCCCTGCGCTTCGGTTTCTCTCCGATCGTCTACCAGATCTGGAGCGAGAGGATATTCGACCTCATCAAGGCTGCGTGGAAGTTTTGGCCTCTGGTGGCTATGCTCAATTTCGCCCTCGTGCCCGTGGGCTATCGGGCGCTGGTAGGCATGTGTGTTGGATTTATATGGAACATGTTTCTCACGTTTTTCCTTTTGTAACTTGCATGCCGGAAGGCCTTTCATTCTTTCTCTTTGTGCACATCACGGGTTGCATCAAAAAGCGTGGAGTTTTTTTCGGGTTCGAAATGGTTGATCCATGTATTCTTGCCTGCCACCTGGCTAGTCTTGGGGAGAAGACGGGCCGCACGGGGTTATTCTCGTCATAATCAATTGACTGCTCACAGCTCATCATGAACGGCTTGCTCAGCCGCCTTTCCGGCTGAAGACTTTTCATCCCCTGTCTTACTCATAGGTCCGAGTATGGTGAAAATGACCCGACGATAGGAAACCAGTGTACCATCAGAGACCTCAAGGATGAGATGCATATGCTTGTCGTCATTCGGGTGACGATTTCTGCCTGGGGCACGGAGAGCCTCCTCTGAAGGCATTGTGACTGTGATAATGGGAGCGTCGGTATCACTCAGCTCCAGTCTGCCGACGTCTCGTCCTGGATTATTGTTGTTTGATGATGGCTCCAAGTACTGCCACCACTTGTACGTCAACTCTCCTCCGTCCGGGTCGCAAGACTCTCGCGCATCGAGCCCGATGACGTCCTCCTCCTTGACGATCATTTTCACAATCTTGCGAGACGTGTCTCCATTCAGCACCACGACAGGGGCATGGTGAGCATCACCGAATTCAGGACTGGCGGACCACTTGATACGGGCAGCAAAGTCGTTCTGGAACGCCTCCCTCCATCTCCACACGGTCGCCTGCGAACTCATGATCGTCCTTCCCGAAACCCCTTTCAGGACGTCCACCGTATCCGCGTAATGACCCTCACCGTAGGTGACGGGTCCATATCGGCCGCCCCAAGATCCCCATTCCGGATATTCGGGGTCGGAGAGCCCGTTGGGGATCAGGTAGAGAAGCGAAGGTGTATCGCCCTCGACAATGAAGTCAGCGTCAGGATACTTCGCCCCCAACGGCCCGACACTCTGGATATTCTGCCTGATCCAATCTGGCGATATGACCTCCTGGTTTGAGAAGCTCGGAAAGTTGTAGTACTCCTCACCCGAGATGCCGCCCCACGCGGCAACGGCGTAGCGGTTGAAGTGATGGACACTGGCAATGTAAAAGAGTTGCGGCCAGTTTCGACGGATCCACGAGCCGGTATTGTCCTGATCAGAAATCGCATAAACGCGGAGCTTGGAGACGAAAGTTTCGATCTCGGAGGACGATCGCGTCGCGTTGACGTGCCACAACGCCTGCGCCAGGACGGACGCCCCTCCCCATACCGGGACCCAGAGCGGCTCGTCCGAGGCGTCAACTGCCTTTACAAGCTTGTCGGAGCCCTCGCTGTCCTTTTCTTCGCCGACGCCGTCCATGCCGTAGACCGGCAAGCCGGTGGCAATTAGGCCTTTGAGATAGGATGCTTCAGGCCAGCCGGGAGCATGTTTCTTTAGGTTTAGCAGTGCTTCGCCGTATGCGTCAACAATATCGTGCATCTGGTCTGGGCGGGTGGTGTCATTCAGCCAAACACTCGTCGTCGCCACTAGACCTTCAATCTGAAGATCATTAGCATAGACTAGAAGTCGCACGAGCGACTGCGCATCATCGGGCTCGTTGGCGATGTCGCTCAAGAGGAATACGCGGGGCTTTTCAGGGGTTGAGGGCGTGCATTGTGACGCGAGAGATGGTACGATGCAAGAAAGGAGCAAGGTGGCTCTTGAAAGACTTGATGAACAATGCATTGTGAAGCAATACCAACAAAAACGAAGGTCGGAAGATTAAACAACTTCAAGATACTGACCTAGTGAGCTTTCTGTGAGGGGAAGTATTTGTGGTACTCCAAGCTTGCGCTTGAAGCTGGTGACTGCTGCGACGCTTCTGGTTGCCTTATTGGGAATGAACAAACATGGGTCAAAAGTCACCGCCAACCTGAACACTGCGCCAGTCAAGCACTCTCGGACTTCTATCCGTGTGCCGAACACCAGTCTCATTCAATTCCATGACGTGTTCCAGAAGGCTAAAGATGCCTGACTTAGAAGCCGAGTATATCAAACAACCTCACGATAGCCCTTGGTGCTTAGCTTGTTCGCATGAAAACTTACCGGATAGATATGCAACTATAAATCATCGCTTGGCGCTTAGTTGATTCTGCCCGGTAAGACCGCCTACCCCCCCCCCCCCAGGTATTTCGCGACTCCCTAGATATCTCAGACAAGAAGTTTTCCTCACCTCAATACCTGACAGAAATCGTTGCACAAATTACCCAGCCACTTTAGAACAGGCTTTCTACTACGGCATATCCTTCACAGCAGATTTCCAGGCCGAGCGGCCCGAAACAGGCTTCCACAAATCTTCAACATGTGGTCTCGCGGTAACTTCTTCGTACAAGCCTAGCAAGTGGATATAAGGCATCCAGGTGAAGATATGTATGTCAGCAAGGCTAAAGTTCTATCGCACGGTTAGAGGAAGCCTCGAGCCTAGCAATGTAGCCCGGATAGCAAGAGGTGCATTTGATCTTACATTCCCAGCTAGGTAAGCGTTGGAGCCCAGGAAGTCTTCGTAATAGTCAAGTGCAGTTTTGAACATTTCAGTTGCTTTTTCCACTTGAAAAGGATACGCCGGCTCAGCTGGGCTTAGGTAGGCCGCGTTGTCAGTAAAGAATTACTACTCAAGAGTCGAGCAGTTTGGCCTTACTCCTTCCACATCTTCTCGTTGCACAACGTCCTGACGGATGGGTCAAAGTAGGAGTAGTCAATACTGAGAGCCTTCTCAAAGTTCCCAACCGTGACTGGATCACCGCTCATGACGGCATCAAGAGAGCTAATGGGACCGCCAAACTCGGTGACGAGGTAGCGGAAAATGGCTCGGGATTCAAAGAGTTGAAAATCTCCATCTTGGATGACAGGTATGCGACCAAAGGGGTGTCGTTCCTTGACGTATGCGGAATTCTGATACAGATTGTCAGAGCTTCATGGATGGAGATGTGTGAATGAACTTGAAGCAGGCCACAGCTACGAACCTTTTGTTCTCCCTTCATGAGGTTAACTTAAGTCAAATCGTACTCGCGCCCAAGTTCATTGAGAGTAATCAGCACGCTGTGGACACAGGAAGGAAGATGTCACGGAGCCCCAAAGTTTGATCGACATTGTGAGTTGGTAAGCCTTGAATTTGACGAAGTATGTATCAAAGAGAAATTGAAGATTCTTTGCTTGTGAGGAACGTAACTGTGAAGGATGGATCACTGTATGACAAGGAGACACGATGTTCGAAACATGGCGACTTGACGTCTATTATCTCAAAACCAAGAGAGAAGCCAGAAAGAAAAAGTACAACCCAGCCGACGGCACGAGTTTGTCAAAGCATAGGAGCTCATTGCAAGTGCTGAAGCGTCACTTTGCTTCATAATCAATCGCGATCGCTTCTAGACTCCTACTCCAGAACTCCTGACCTCTGTCGAGGCTTAATAACTCATAGCATTTGTGGCCGGTTAGTATCGCGTTTTTTGCGGTTGTTTAGAGATGCAGCAGCTCACTGGAGGTGTGAGCTGACTGTGGAGGTGCAATCACTCGGAGGAATCTGCAAATTGGTGTCCGTAACCGACCGGCTGCACGCTCATAGATTTATAAGCCCCCTTCAGGAACACATCATCCAGACCAGTGCCTTGTTTTCCAGTTCTGATTTCTGAGCACTTATCCTTTGTGTTTGTTCTGTGGTTACTGGGGATGCAGTTCGCCGTTGATGGCTTGCACAGCAGGGCGGACTCCGGAAAACAATACATTGAACAGGCCGAATTGTAAGCTGAGGTAATTCATCAAACGCACCTGCAAAGACACATGATGATTTTCAGCTCGATATACCACCAAGAAATTTCGATAATCAGGTCTTCCAATGATTCAAAATTGTCGCTTCGTGGAAAGTCTAGGAAAAAGATGGTTTGAAAAATATAGCAGCACAATGACTTTGTTGACATTCGCGCCAACGGAACGGTACATAAATGCTGATGCAAATACTCAATGTTCTGGGCATGCATATCCCACCATGATGAATTTTACCGTCTGAATGCTAACACAACGACTCCAAGTTATAACTTGAAGACCTAAAGAGAGGAGAGGTAAGTTAATAGAGACACAATTCTTACTCCGTACTTCCAAAGAACCTGTCATTGACGGCGTACCCATTAGACCATAGTAGACTAGCCTGAGCCACTGTGGCTGAGGAAGCCTTAGGTAATGCGCTGCTGCTACAGTACATAGAACCTTGAACATCCTCGGCTTAGACCCGCCGTCGGCCCTGCCCCACTCGAAGCCAATAACGGGGAAAGGGAGTCACGACTCGCCAAGAGATTTGCTCGGCTGATACCGAACCATCACCACCGTAATCTGCAGACAAGGGGCTCCATGTCAACGATGCCCGCGAAAACAGCCGCTGTAATCTAGTCAGAACCCAGATTGATGGAAGTCCCAGTCTTTCTGTTAGAGTTTGGAAGTTTTTATCAAACTCTCAGAGGGCGTCTGGAAGAGCAGTGTCCTGAATCCTCTCGGCTTTAGCCGGAATGACCTAGAAAGTGAGTACTTTATCAACCCCTATCCCACCTAATTGCTGACGGGAAAATATTTGCCGTCCGCCACTTCCGGCATACGAGATACGGGAAACGCTTGTACGGATACTTCAATCTTCAGGACCATGGCGACAAGGCTCGTGCAGGTGATTTACAGAGCTGTCGTACGATCGAGTCACAAATCCTGAACTTAGACCTATAATCGAGGCCGACAGAAACGGAGTCAAGACGTCAAACGGGAACTTTACAGGGCAGTTCGGAACACAGCTCACTAGCGCTTCGGATTTGTTGCAGTTTAGCCCGGCTACGGTAGTTGAGACAGCGCGATTGTATTGCTTCTAGTGTCGCCAAAGTATATGAGTTCTGTAGGAATTCTGTAGTAACAGATGCTTACTCTTGGTCTAGGTTCACAATGAGGGCAAGCCGCAGCGGTTGTACAATATAATTTGATGCATTATCTCTTACACTGTGTGTGCACTCCTGGCTTTATCATACGACAACGTCGCTCAAAACAAATTCCCCAGTACAACCCCGCCCAAACTCCAGTCCGATGCGAATTTTGTGTCCTCTAAACCCCGGCCCAAATCATTAGACATTACGAATATGTGCCCCTCAATCACGCTGTATCGTGACGGTTTTGGTCTGTAGAATCGCCTTGTCGCTCATATCGTCGGCGCTCTCCCTCCCACCGGCAACTACTACGGATGAGAAGCCGGGGTCTTCTTCGTTCATTCTCTTGCGATCGGAGTGGAAGGTATGCATTTCGTTCTCGTCCGGAAACTGTTCGTATTGTTTTCTTTGACGGCTTTTCATGGCATTCGTTGATCTTTGATGCGCGTATGACATTCGATAACCGCCGACTGCGTAAGATGATGGGTTCGTGGAGGAGCCCATGAGCTTTGGCGCGAAATGCTTGAAGAACTTTCGTAGGGTGGGCATCGAGCCGCAAATCACAAAGAGGTTGGCTTCAACGAAACTATCAAGAGCAGGGGTTAGGACAATAGAGAGGCAAAGAAAGCAGTGATCAGGAGCACTTACGTCCAGATATTCGCAGGGGCAGCATCCCATGACGGATCTACACTGACGAGTAGTGGGGGTAGGTAGGTCAATCTAACGATGGAAGTCGCCACGGTCCTTTCCATGAAGTCAGTGGGAAACACTTGATTGAGCTTTGAGGGATAAGTGCCGCCTACATTGATCCAATGGCAAAGATTATAACGGCGCCGATCTTCGATGCCATCTTCATGCGAAGACTGAAGATCATAGGCATCGGAAGAATGAACAGCATGACATCGGTGATGATATTAGACACAGCCGTAGCCATGTACAGAATGCCAACGTCGAGGCACTTTCCGCCGGTGATGGTGAAGTCAAAAGCTTTCCTGACGGGATTGCAGTGGAACAGCATCAGGATAGTGATGCATGCTGTATACAGCGAAACCACAGCAATACCCGTCCATACTGCTACTCTAAACCACTTCTGGGGTGAAAGATGAAGATAAAATGTCAATAGAGACAATTTTGTAAAGCCATTGCACAGCATGAAGACGGGCGCTGTTACGTAGGTTGTCTGTACCATGTCAGCATCCTATGGCAATTGGGGGCTTTTGTGATAGACTCACGATGGAATAGCGCACGAATCTTGACATTGGCATCTCCCAGGCATGAGCGCACATGCCACCTTCAGCAATAGAAGCTGCAGAGCTCTGGTCAGCTTCAAGTGACCTACAGCATGCAAGATGGGCCAGACATACCAACAAGCATTGCTTGAGTGACTACGGAGGCACCCTAAGTGAAGGAAGGTTAGACAATGATCTGGTAGCCAAGGAGCTGAACAGCGATCAGTGGACCGTCGAGCCGAACTTACCCATCCCAGAAACATGAAAGCTTTCAATAGTCAGTTTTTTGGCGAAATACTAGGTCGATCAACCAAGGTAAACTCACCATCGTCAACTTGCAGGCCTTTTGAAAGGAATATTTTGGTGTAAAATCTTTGGCACAGGGCAATGAAGGCAATAGTACCACCAACACCAAAGAGCAAGTAATGCTCCAGCACCTTTTGCTGCCTCGGGTGGTCAAAGTCGACCGTGACGCCCGGCGGGGCTGGGATCACAGAGACTTCAGACATGTTGCCAGTAGAATGGTTCAGATTCGCAAGCAACCGAAAGCTTGGGTCTAATGGGGGAAAAAAAGAGCAGCACCCGATCTAGCGTATATACATGTTATCGTACTGAGTTCTGACGGAATTCACCTGCCATAGTCCGTGACCACATTCGGGTGTACCGAGGGTGTAAAGGACCAGGGTCCAACGTAGAAAATTCGGGCCTCCCCCTTCGACGAAATTGCATGCTTCAAGCACTTTCTCCCACATCTTCTCTTTTAACGGGATGAACTCTGGACGGTGCCGTGGAGGGAGCATGGATCACTCAAGGTCCCTTTGAGAACTCCTGGAGTCTCGATAAGTGTGATCTGGCGCGACTCATGTAATTGGTATCCATCTCAACGGTCAAATACTTATGAGGTCTATGCTTCAGCGCCAGGATAGGCTTTCTTTGGTGTAGTGCACTCGATTTCCTGTTAAAACTATACTCGCTGTGCTTATTGCTCGAGATCTTGACCTGATTGTTGCGCAACCGAGCAGCTTCTCATTCGTGGGATCGCTGCCCTTCCAAAACTAATAAAAGGCACAGTGTTTGCTGTACGATCGACGCCCCGATCGAGAAGTTTGGTCCGAACTCATAATAAGGTTCCGTTGTTGGAGAGTGTTGGAAGTTGTCTCTATGGACTGGGATTGCTGGTCCAGCCCCGGTAGTTGGGCTGGTGTAAGGTATGGCAGAAGAGGAGAATGACCAGTCACAAAGCGGGCCGCCGAAACTGGGGTCGACAAGGGGTTGGGACAGCCCTGACAAAAGGACCGATGGCTCCAATCTCCAAGATAGAGAAACGTCATGCCCATTGGGTCCCGGCTACCAGTTACCCTCGCTCTCGCAGCCACCCGTCAATGTGCTTGGGATCAGGGTTGGTGAAGACTCGAGAGCTTTGCTGCGGTACAGAGTAATCCGCGACCAAGCCCTCAGATTCTCCGCCCTTTCCGTCAGATCTTGGTCAAAGCTGACAGAATAAGACAACGACCCCAACACACGTACCTGAATGGAACCCATGGTGCGGCACAGGAATAACCCACTCCTTGCTGATACACGTATGGATCTAATATCCTGGAGGCGTATCCATGAAAAGGCGGAATGGATTAGAAGGACCTCCGTCATACGGGCAACATTATCCTCCTTTCTTTGAGAGGGGAGTCACGGAGCAGAGCTTCTGCTTCCTCGGAGGCGATCGTTATAATATACTTTGCATGCCCATTTTTGGCCTATAAAAACCACCAGCGGTTCCCGCGTTTGCCATGGATAGGGCAAGTAAATCTGCCCAAGCTTCACTAGCATGACTCGCCTTCCACAATTTGAAAAGGGAGAATAAGGAGGCGGCTGTTCAAAGATTCGGAGATGAGCTTGTTGGAATTGATGTCGCGGCAGAGGATTATCCCTCATCGACCAACAACATGTTCGAGGTCGTTCAGGAAGCGAGGCCCACCGGATGCAACTTTGGCTCTTGGCGAAGCAAACAATGTTTGTGGGAATCCTTCGTAGAATCCAAGATATCCCGCGGCTGAGCGGCAGAGCAGCAGAGCAGCATGTCATTGTTTGCTTCGATAAAAGTGGTTTTGTGGTTGATAGCGGGAGGCGAGTATTGTTGTCGATCAACTTGGTATGCAATGGGGAGGCGGGCACGAGATGGGATCGAGCCAAGTTCACCGGCGTTGTATTGTCTACAGCCCTATTCCCTGCTCTCCGAGACAGGGAAGACCAGACTGCCAAGTCGGAACGTCTGAATTTTGTCAGCACTTATTGCCTAGCAGCTCTGGTTCCGAAACCTCGTGGAAATCATACCGGAAAAGGTCGCACTGCATGTTGGACATATTGCAGAAATGGGGGCGGAACAACGCTTTGCAGGTCAGCTCTCCGCCCCCCAGACACAGTCGTGACGAGAATGAAGTTGCTGGCTCTAGATCTTCCGCCTGATTGCGTTCTGGTGGCTAATGTAACCTGATTCCAACACGTCTTGCCACAACTTGGCCGGGTGCTGACCGATTGCAAAGGCAATACATGACCCAAACGAGGATTGAAGCTCCGAGAAGCAGCAAACATGATCCTTCGGCCCCATTAACAAGCTGAAGATTACTCCTCTTTTTCTTTGCAACTTTCCACTTGACCTACCGGATTCATGCGGGTATTCATCGGTCCCTGTGTGGACGGCGGCTTGCGGGATTGAACATGCCCGCTAGTTGCATTAGATCAAATTACATCGACTCATGCTGGTCTTTCAACGAGGGCACTAGCTCGCGGTGGAGGCGAGGTCGGTCTGAACTTAAAACTGCGGACTCGGAAGGCACTGGAGATTTGATCGCTCATTCAGAATGCAACGGCAATAGATATTCGCTAGAACACCTCGAGAGTTTCTAGTCTTTCTCATCCTCTCACCTGGTCTTGCTGCCGTCCAGTCAACAACCCCGATCCTCCCATCAGATCACCCCCACGCAACGACGACGGGAGCTCGTGCGCAGACACACACTCACACACACAGAGTCAAACAAACTCTGGTAATCATGAGGTTCTCAACGGGTTTGTCGATCTTGGCCTTGGCTACCTCGACTGTCTCAGCAAGGGGTCGCAGTCCTCACTGCGTGTGTGTACGTCACCCTCCCTTCCCCCCTCTCATCCACTCCCACTGGCGATCATTTCTAACTTTGGCCCCATACAGTGCTCTGCTCTTGCCCAAGATCAAGACCTTCAAGGCAAGGTCTACTCAAAGGACAACTCATTCTACGATGCGCGGTTAGAGACATACTACTCTGCCAATGCTGCTCAAGCTCCTTGGTGCATGGTGTTGCCCGAGAGCACCTCGGACGTGACAAAGATCGCAAAGATCTTGAATAGAAACCAATGTCCTTTTGGCATCCGCAGTGGTGCTCACTCGGCTTTCACTGGATCCAATGGTGTCAAGAAGGGTGTCACCATCGACTTTGGTAAGCATTCCAGCTGATAATCCATGACATGGGACGCATCATGTGTTGACAAACGCTTTTCTCCAGGTTACATGAACACCACGACATACGATGAAGGAACAAAGATTGCTTCAATCCAGCCTGGCTCAGACTGGGAAAGGGTCTTCTCTACCCTTGATCCCTATGGCGTTGCTGCTGTTGGTGGAAGAGCGTCAGTTGTCGGTGTTGGCGGTTTCACAACGGGTGGCGGTGTAAGTGAACCCAGTTTGGCGTCTCATAAACCGTCGCCGTCTCAGATATCTCGAAGTTTTACTAATACTCAAGATCTTAGTACTCCTTCCACACCAACTCTCATGGCTTTGCTTGCGACTCGGTTACCAATTTTGAGGTTGTACTTGGGGATGGTTCCGTTGTGAACGCCAATGCAAATGAGAACGCAGATCTCTGGAAGGCCCTTAAGGGAGGTTCAGGAAACTTTGGTTTCGTCACTAGAATCGATGCTCGTAAGTTGTTCATGCTATAATATGGTGTTCCTCACTAATACATCCCCTGTAGGCACTGTTGACTCGACACAAATGTCAGGTGGCTTCGTGAGCTACAACCTCACAGAGAGAGACAACGTCTTCAACGCCTACCTAAAATTTGCCAACAACATGGACAATGACCCCTATAGCCAAAACATTGTCGCTCTATACTACGATAAGACCGGCTTCAGCTTGCGATCTATCCTGACCAACGTCCAAGCCAACATGGACGCGCCTGCTTTCGACGACTACTACGCGATCCCCAACATCTCCAGCACTGTCCGTGTTGGTACTGTGGCCGAGCTCGTTCCGGAGTTCACTGGTCCCACTCCCTTGGGCCTGTAGTAAGTTGTTCTTCGTAGCAAGACCCACGAGGCGGTTCTGACACTATGTAACAGCGCAAATTGGATGGTTGGCCAGACTACCAATGATTTCCGTATCATGGACTTCATCGACACCAAGCTGAAAGAATATTCAGCCAAGATGAAGGAAGCCGCGCCCGAGTCCGACTTCAACGTCCTTGTCCAGTTCCAGCCCGTCACCCAATCCATCGTCAAGCACGGCCTCGATAACGGCGGAAACTCACTCGGCCTGGAGAGTGTTGTTGCGGATGGCCCTACCATCATGTGGCTCATTGCCTTGACTGTCGATACCCCTGCGAACCAGAAGTTGATCCTTCCTTTTGCCCTCGAGTTCCGTGCCGCCATCGATGAGTACGCCAAGGAGATTGAGGCGTACAAGGAATGGAAGTACCTCAACTACGCATGGAAGGACCAAGACCCGCTCTCGACCCATGGCCAGGAGACCATTGATTTCCTCAAGTCAGTCTCAGAGGAGTACGATCCCGAGCATGTCTTCCAGAACCTCCGCAAGACCGGCTTCAAGCTTCCTGCTTAAAAGTCCTTCTGAGTTTGCTGGAACTTTGGAGATTAAATTCTACAAGGGCCATACAAAACGGTTCGCGTAAATCACGGCACATGCAGGTTACGGGGAGCTGCAAAGATGGATATGATCTTTGATCTTTAATCCTATTCTACTATTCATTGTAACTAATTGGAACCTCATCAATATCCTGTATCAATACCCTGCATTCAGACGAGTATCTTCTTATCTTAGTACATAACCCTATTTTCTCTTTTGTACTTATAGACTACAACCCTATTCTTTAGATAGTTGATACAATATGCCTACATCGTCTTTACACTTATTTATCCTATCGACTGCGAGATAACGCCAGTACATGCACCTCCAGTTTTCTCCAACGGGGAGCATCTTGGTTGGTTGCACCGGGCGGAATTGAGACGGGTTCTAGACGGATAATCATGGAAAAATATACGATTTGCTACTTCCCCTCACGAGAAGTAAGCACTCATTTACTGACGTTATCTCGCAGTCGATGGGATAAAAGCTTACTTCAAATGTCGATGATTGGTTTTCCATCGAGTCGTAATAAAAATAGGCCCATGAATCTAATGTGCCATTTTCTTTGTTGACTTGGGCTATGCTGCTCATCCAGACCTAGGCTGCCAAGTTTTCAACCAAGCTCGCCAGCTATCTGATATTTAATAGCCAAAAGCTTGGTATGCACTCGAGAGTCGCGTTCGCTAAGTGAGCTCGTCCATTAATTGCCAAAGACTGTCGGGAAATGCTTCCCCGTAATTCTCAGCTTCAGTAATGGTTATCTCTTGCCACTGAGCAGGAAAGATCTCTCCAAGTAACAGGTCCTGGGAGACGAAGTCGTATGGTGATTGTTGCATTATTGCGTCGTTTGAATTCTGCTCAAGACTTGAGGCGACTTGTGCAGTGTGATCCCGAGGCAGCGCCTCCACAGCTCTAAACTGGCTTTCAGGCTCATTGTTTCCCAGAGAAGTAGGGTCTGGGGAGGAGAATCCGTTCATCATCTTTCGAAAGAGCGCCAGTACGACATCATAAGCGAATCCTGCCATGGCATTCCGCGGCCTCATTGCATCTAGCCTTGCCAAGCCCCATTCCAAGCGGTTCACCGATTCTGCCAGAAGATGTTGCGCATCATCCGGGGCTCGAATGTAGGTTGCTGCCACTAGAACCATGGCATCGAATATAGAGAAGACAAGAGCGAATCCCCTATAAAGTAAAGCCCCCGCGTGTTCGAACAGCCTGCTTTGTGACGCAAGCATCTTCAGCGCGGCCGTGTGTGCCTCTACTCGACTTGCAGACAGTGTGGTTATGAAAGGGCGATGCAGTGCGAGCAGGACAAAATTGACCTCAGTAATGAGTGTCTCGCGAGCCGCAGGGAGCCAAGGGTATCTGCCGTCGAGTACCGGAGTTGCAGAGGTTGCCCATGCCGGGAGTTTGGAAATATTGCTGATCACGGCGTTGTGTATTTTCTGAACGGTCTCTTGCGCATCCTTGTTCTCAACCCCAAGATCGTGAATATCCTGTAGATACCTGTAAGCAGCATGATAGCCACATACCATGAAGTCGAATGGGGATATCGTTACGTCGTCTAAATCTGACGGATGCGGCGCAACTGTCAGGCTCGTCACCTTGGGCACGCAGCTCGAGTCCAATCTGGTCGTCATGGGCCTCCCGAGAACAACAGCCATGTGCGCGTCCCAGAGATGCAACATAAACCACAATTTCTTCTCCAGTGGGAAGACCGGAATTTGTATATCGTGTTCGGCAGGCGGACTTGTCTCCCAAACACTACGTGTGTGCAAGCCAAGTTCTTGGGCGTCTCGGATCGTTCTTCCAAGTGTGTGCCAGGCTTCGATAACTGAGCCATTGCTCTTCTCGAAAAATGCCTCCATCAGTCCAGCCCGAATTCTGTTGAGAGAGATGTCTTTACTCCCGAGCATCACCATGATTTGATGGCCCACACTGCTATAATCCGCCGCCAGGTCGGCAAAGTCGATATCAGGTGCGTACTTGAGGCCCTGCAGTGCTTCGTCGTTTTCATCAGGGTGGAATTGCAATGCGAGTGCAAGAACCTGAAGGAGTAAAGCAGGGAAGGCCCGGATGCTGACAGACAAGTTCTCGGGGCCCAGATTCAACGTTGCGGAGGAGATGTGATTCCAGTTTGATAGCTCGTCCCGGAACCTTGAGTAATCAATAACATCGTATTGCCATGCAACATTGTTGAAGAACGATTCCACAAGGATATTAATGTGCTCCCTTTGTGGTATCTTCCTTACGAGTTTCACGTAGTGAACTGCCGCATCATGGTTCCGTGGCCTTCCACCACGGGTGGCTGAGTCATGGCTCAATGCCCCGAGTTGGGAAACAATCTCAAGGGTCCCTGTGACATTGACAGAGTAACCGAGTCGTTTGGATAGCTCATGAGCAGTGACGGACGTCTCCTCTCCACCAGGCGTGTTGTCGGATGACGACTGGGATGGACTTGTTGACAGATCTGGGGCTGTTCTGGGTTGAGTTGCCAATTTCTCAGCACCCACGTATTTTTGTTCGGTATACTCATAACGGCAAAGTCCCTAAATTTTGTAAGTGTAGTTCAACACGCTCGTGGGGGAAAGGGCCATACAGGCTTGCCTCGTCGAGAGCAATGAAAACACGGATGCTGTCGATCGCACTGGTGCTAATCAGACCAAGGTAAGCTACCTGCCAACCAAAAAGCTTACTTTCTGTTTGCGTCTGTGACATTCTGAACATGAGATCACCAGACGCTTCTGCCTGTGCGATGGTCGGGCGCTGGAAGTATCAACTCCCCAGCTATACATCATGAAAAGCCTAGCTCAGCATATGAAGAGAGTTGAGGGGTTGATCGACACATCGCTGGCGCTGAGGGGATTTGTATGAGGACCGATCCCTGTTTACATAATCGCACATGCACAGGCCACTCGGCCAAACTTAAAGCCAGTTCCCCCTTCCGGTAATTGGTAATTAAGGGAGACGGCGAGCGGCTTGCATAGGACGTCGGCAGCTTTGCCCGGATGGAAGGATTTGCCATCGGCTGATCGGCTGGTTTTGCGCTTATCACAACAACTATCATCGTCCACAAAGTTCGGATACCGCGCGAAAGGGAAATTCCGGTAACATTAGTGGCGCCTACTGCTGCCGTTCAACGCCCCATGGCAACGCAATCTCTTATTTTTGGTGCCTTTGCTGATTGTTCACAGGATTGTGAGTAGAAGCTTACAATGAACACGTTGCTAATACGTACTCTCACCATTTGAATTAAGTATCACGAGTTTGTCACCAATTTGAAGGTTTTGCCTGCATCATCAACTGCAGATGGCAAGATCAAGATGAGTTAGTTTTATTGAAGACTTAGACTCGTTGATTTACACCTTTGTCTGTCCAAACCAAGCCGCGATCTCACCAACGTTCCTATCCACAATATCCGGCTGCTCGTAGTGCTGGAAGTGCGAGATATCAGCGTCCCAAATCAGCTTCTTCTCCTTCGTCGGGATCGACTCATAATGTCTCTTGGCTGCAGCGGCATTCATGCAATTATCACCATGAATTACCAAAGCTGGCTTAGTGAGCTTGGACACACCATCGACCGTGGAATAGCCAAAATGGTCCAAATCGCTCATGACCGCATACCGATTCTCGAAACCCTTCAAGGTCCAGGGGCCATACCACGACCATACGATCGGTCCTGGAAGCCCGGCAAGAGAGCCAACGTTCGGGTCCGCAGCTTTGGGGTCGACGAGAGGTTGGTAGATGACTTCCCCGGTCTTTTCGTACAGGGCTTTGGCCTCTTTGGCTCGTTTGATGCGCGCATCGTAGAGGGCTTCTCCTTGCTCAGGTGTAGGCATCTTCAAAGCTCCTACGTCAACACCTGGCTCGACATTGACACACCCCGAGCAGATCATCCAGATATCCGTTTCGCGGTCGCGGTAGTATCCCGTGACGGAAGCAACAGCGACAACGCGGTCGTCGTAGGACGCCACATCAAGACACTCGGGGCCTCCCTGACAGACGCCTACGAGGAATAGTCTCTTTGCATCCACGTCGCCCCTACCAGCGAGATAATCGAGACCGGAGACCACGTCTTCATTCTTCATCACAGGGTTTTCCAAGCGGCGTGGCTGGCCGGTGCTCTCTCCGACAGTGCGTGGGTCGAAGATCAAGGCCGCGTAGCCTTCGTCAGCCAGTCGTGTGGCATACTGCAACGGAGCTTGCTCTTTGACAAACGAATAGGGGCCTAGGACCACGATTCCGGGCGGGTTGGTGATGCCTTGAGGCTTGTAGAGAATACCAGCGATAGTCTCTCCATGAGACGGGTAGGTAACCTTCTCAGTAGTGTAGCGGCCGTGGACACCCATTGTGATCTGCAAAGATGATGGATTGGTGAGATGGAGTAGTTGAATAATAGAGTGGGAAATTGATGTGTAGATGCTTATGATTTTGCAACAGATAATCTCTCTGCAGAATCAAGTGGTAAAGGTAGTTTTTATATGCGTATCTCAGAACTTCAAGGCCTGTATTCATGTTGCCTTACATGCCATGTTTCTGTGTTTTCGGCGAAGAGACCCATTATTCTCGGTGTCGGTATCCACTATTTTCGGCGATGGCTGATGAAAATCACCGACAGCCAAGCCTTGCTTGGTTGCATCCGCTGAGCTGATCGACGCTATGGGGATACGACGAGCCTATGTCCGAGACATTCGGTCCAGACAAACTGTGCTGGAGCGCTTAGTACAACTTTGCGCAAATGCTGTGAAAGGCTCAGCTGTTGAGGTTTCCATCGACCCGACGCAAATGGCGTTATGTGATGTAGGGCGGAACCTACTACTTCAGGTTGACAATTCCATAACGAGTAAGGCCACCTCTGTGCCATCTAGATAATCCTACCTAGCGAGAGCTGGATGAGGGCACTGCTTTTGTCAATGGTGATCAGCGAATACCTGATGTTCTCCATTTTTGAACATTTGCTGGGCTCATGGAGTCCGTGAATGTCTGTAGACAGGAACAGGCGATAGCCTGGAATTCTGTTCACTAATACGCTTCCGAATACTGGCACAAGCCAGACGATGAAGACCGTGGATGGGACTGATAAGGTAGCAACCGATGTGTCTGCCAAGAATACAATTAAGAAACACAGTATACATGCCTCACCAAGCTCGCGGCATTCACTCTTTGCTCAATTTTCAGACAACGACGCCTGCAATTTTCAACCACCAACCCCACCGCTAATTACCCGACCGCCGTAGTATGGCACGAATACACCACCGCGATAGCCTCCACCAACACCGCCAACTCGACACGCGCGTTTTCCAAAGCCATCAGATTCGAATTCTTGTAATGGGATATCGGCCGGGAACAGTTCGTGCCGCTTTTCGAAAGCGTCGGCGCTGTCGTATACTTGTGCGTTCTTTAAGTCGACTTTCGAGCCGATGGCGTGTTCTTCTTGGCTGTTGAACATGTAATACGTTCCGGGAGTCGCTTGGCCGTCGCAGTTGGCTTCGGCTACAACTTTCTCTTGTACGTCGGCACAGTAAACCTTGCCAGCGTTGGCACCTTGTACAAATAGAAAAGCTGCCGCTGCAGCTCGTAGGCCGTTGAGATCTGTATGGTGTTTCATTATAGTCGGACTTGAATGTACGATGAAGACTTGGTTTAGGACTGTCGGGACTCGTCGCGGCGTGCGAATTTCTTGAATGCGTGCTGCCCTTATTATAATTCGCTGCCAAGCTGCTCACGAGTTGACACTCGTAATAATGAGACGTGTGCAGACTAATACCCGGCGCTGTTCGTATTCAGCGATGTAATCTGCGACAAATAAACTATAACACAGACTGGACTCAATCATGTGCTCAGCTAAAGATGAGTTAAAAGGAAAAGACCTCTATGATTTTAACTCAACAGGATTTAATTTCGAATCTGGCGCTGAGTCAAGCCTAAAGAGCAATCAAGTAAGGTTCTGTCAGTGCCAAATCGCATGTAGGGATAGCGGGGAACAAGTACAGTGGTCTCACTGGTTCGTTATGGGATGTCGGGTTGCCCGATCCCCTAAGATGTGCTAAGGCTATCAAAACCTACTACAAAGTACCTGGTTTCATGCACCGATGGTCTTCATTTCCCCGACTCAGTAGACCTGGGCAGCTTTAAGCAAAGTGACTTCCCTCTTCAAATATCCCCCTCTATCTCCCTGCGACGCCCACAATGGGGCGAACTACCATGAGGTTGATTATACGAGTCCATCAAACCTTGCGACCAGAGACATCGCAGTGCGTCGGTAGCCCTCCCGGACTCGCGGCGGAAAGATAAATACATTGGCATGTCCTAAATGACACCAGAGCCAAGTCCCGCTTGCTTGTCATCTCTTTGTGATCACTCCTTCTGAGACACTTGTTCTCTTACATTCGTTGAAAATGCGCTTCTTTTATTTGCTCCCACTCTTCGCTTCGGCGGCAATTGCTGCTGATCAGGGCAAAGGTTGCGGAACAGTAGATGCTATAGATTGTTCGGGGAATAATATTGTAAAGTGCTACACTTTTCCGGGGAGAAGTGGACTGACCTGGAACTATGTAAGTTTTTGTTTCTAAAACCTTCATCCACCAGAACCATTGGAGCTGACTTCAATCAAGGTCGACTCATGCGCGGACAGAGGACAAGTGTGTAGATCTGGCGCTTGCGACACAATTCCAATCAGTGCCAACCAAGGCAAGGGCTGCGACTTGAAGAACGCCTTTGGCTGTTCTGGGAACAACATTGTGCAGTGCTACACTTTCCCTGGGAGGAATGAAATGACCTGGAACTATGTGCGCAATCAGGCCCTCCATCGAATCGTTCCAGTTGAGCTGACTAGGCTTTGTAGTATCAATCATGTGCGGATAAAGGCCAAATTTGCAGCGGCAATGTTTGCCAAGCTTGCTAAATACCTTGCGATTGGGTAATTATTGCTTCAGGATATCAACATACTAGCGATCAACTTGTTGTGAAGAGAAAACATCAAACCAAGAGAGTATTGTCCATGATCCAATTCAGTCAACCAGCCTCGACCAGGCTTTTGCTTCCAATGCCTTGATGTTTCTTCGGATCATGCAGTCCTGTATCGGATGAAGACTACGTCCTCCTCCTTGGGCAATGTCCGACGAGGCTACGCGTCAGCTGATTAGGATGGTTATCCTGTGCTGATGTTTTCGCCCAAGGGAGTTGAGTTGGATGGTTTCCTACGTGGCCCTGAAATTACAAATTCCCATACTGACCTTGACCCTCTGTCATCTGATGTCGTAATCGACGCTTCAAGACTTCCACCGGGACCGTCTTGTCCAAGAGATCGACAAGGAACCTTCTAGGGTAGGTAGCGCGATCGTAACCCCAGGAAAGTTCAGTTCCTTTTCACTGGAGACTTGGAACTTTGACCGAGCTTCGTTCGATTCTTGTCTCTCCTTGTAGAATCGTAAATCATCGAACTCAGAGGGAATATCAGAGAGTTCCACATCCGCGTTGATGGCGCCACTAGCAACTTCGTTTCTTGCACTTTTGGGGATGCAAACCCCATTAGAGAGTTTGACTGAGGCAGAAGGGTTGTGGTGGAAAGTTGCTGTGATGAAAGTGTTTATTAGGCTAGGCTTGCGGTTCGAGGAGATGGCCTCGAGAAGGATGACGACTTACTCAGATCAGGAAAGCAAGACCTTTGTGCTTCCTTGACAAAGCTGCTCAGTCTCTCCAAGTTAGGAGCCGGACGTCTGTTGATTACATCTCCATGCTGTTCAATAACCTCTTGCACTTCCAGAAGCAGTTCTAGCCTGTGTTGCGGGTGACTGGCTACCTGGGTCATACAGATATTGTACGATGGTCGTTGTGGTAGTGTGGATGCTTGCAGCGCACAAAGGCATCTGATCATGATTCATCCATCTGAAGTCGTAAATTGTCGAGGTACCGGCCGTCGTCTTTGACGTAGTCCAAAACGCTCGGCGGACAGAGGTATCAGGTCATTGGCCTTTTTGTTGTTCATCTGCCTTACAACCACGTTCTCGCCATTTTCTGTACTGTTCGACGAGATCCGAAAAGCCTGAGAAGGCTGAGAGTTATTCGTACAAAACCGGGAAGGAAAGAGTGACATTGCTTTGCACCTACGGCGTAGACGATTTGACTAATGATAAACGTGCCCGCTATGTCAAGAAAGCCTTCATCTTCGGTAGCATCGCGACTGAGAAAGCTTTGGACGCTAAATGATGGCAGATCACATGTTGATAGTTACTCAAGCCAAGTCGAGGCAGCTGCTGAGCTTGCTTCTGGATCCATGTCGAAATCTCCAAGATTTGAGTTCTATGATGGATTAGCAGTCAATGATTAACATATGACCGCAATGAGTGAGTGTTCAGTGTGACTCGTGGGAGAGACTACTACGTTATCTGTCCGACAGGCATAACGATGTCGGAAGCCCAACTTATTGTTAAGATACAATTTGAAGGAAATCCTCGCGGCGTCAGTAGCCCGGCAGTGCACGTATCTCTAGAGATATCTTTTGGCGTTCAGGGAACGCGCATAATCGAATCATTCGAGCAAGACACAGAATTGCGACACTTAATTTTATAGTTGAACCGCCCCATAAGATGATGGTTGTTCCTGACGTCATTCCTGATGGTAGATGAGGAAGCATCGTCGAGCGCCCAACGCTGTCTTGGCGCGGGGTTTATGTCAGGCAATTAGGCGGTCCATGTTCGCCGACGCGTATTTACGAGGTTCTTCGGGTCAACACCGGTCACATTCATGGTGCAACCTTGACGGCCCAGGTCAGGTGGTACCTTGATAGATACAAAGTTGAGCGATGAAGACATGGAACAAGGGTAACTTGCATTAGCTTCGGGCATGTTGCAACCATACAATTCTTGCCTCGCTTCATTCAAGCGAACGCAGGATCGTAGGCTCCTATGAGCAAATTTCATTCGGCAAGAAACAAGCTGTGGCCACGTTCCCAGAAGTATGCAGTGCTGTCAAAGTCTTAACTCATAGCTCACAAATTTGTTAATGATCAAGAGCTCTTCCAGGAAAGAGAGATTTTACATCAGGGTTCCGACAGTACCACGATATATTCTGCAGGCTGCAAATCAGCCAAGTCAAGTTGAGGAGCTCACTTTATTCGGACTAAGGCCTGCGATCACCAGACTCATTTGGCAACAAAAGCTATCAAGATGATGGGTGCTTCAAGGATAATTGTAAGACTACTCAAGAAACGCAACGGCGAATGGTCTTCTCAGCAGTGAATTGTAAATAGGTGACGCCTCCGGGCATAATGTGTTCTATCTTGACCTGATTAACGTTTCCTTTCCTTCGCTGGACAAATCTTCTCGGTCTCGACCTGTATCTCTGACGCAGAAAGTTCAGTAATGATGGTTTCTGTCCGGCTTAAAAGCTATCTTTTGTTAACTCTCGGTCATCACGTCTCGAGCCGAGCCGCACCTCAGCACCAATTGCTAAGAAGAGCATCTACGGATCAGCACCTGTTTCATCAATCCGACTCAAATGGCGCCTGGTTTGGTCAAGTCGCAGCTCTTGACGGAAGCTTCGAATCATCCAAGAACACCAATATCTCCATTGCCATCGTTGGAGCCGGTGTTTCTGGTCTGGCTATAGGCCTAATGCTGGATAGTGTTGGCGTTCACAACTGGGAGCTCATCAAGGCTAGCGACTGCGTCGGAGGAAGATTCCGAACTATCTTCGTTGGCGATATATCCCGGCATACCATCGAACGGAACACAACACCATCTTTATTGGTGAACACACAGCTCCGACTCATGCTTGGATCAGCTCGTCTCTGCACTCCTCTATAAGAGGTTCAGTACAGCTACTATTGGAGTTGGCATTGGTCAATGAAGCAAAAGAATCCAATGCAAAATGGATGGGTAAATGGATCAAACGAGGCAAATGAGTTCCATTTTTTGAGGGTTGCAAATGGTGTGGCCTGCGGCCCCCAGAGAGTTACTTAGTGACCGCTCCGAGTGGAGGCCGGCAGTCCGATAAATTAGATGGTTCTTCACTGATTTCTCCTGATCAAACTCGTCTGTTAAGGGCTTGCTAGCATTGGAACCGGATTTCGTCTACTTTCATGTTTCCCAGAATTCGTAAATTAGACTCATTTATAATCTTGAACAAGTTATATTTCTCAACGAGAACAGTGTTTGCTTTTGAAGTAACATAATCTCAACTGCTTGCTCTCTTGGCCGCGACGGAGAGCTGTGGAGCTGTTCCTACGTCGTGCGGCAAATCATCCGATTCTTAATGGCGTGCCAGCTCCAACCGACTAGGTATCTCCGCACCTTGATAGGCATGGATCAGCGATTTCGGAAGCATTAAAGTATATCGCTCCCCGCCTCTCACAGCGTCGCGGCGCTCCGCATCTTCTGGGTTGACAAGAAAAGCAAGCGAGAAGCAGAGCATCATGTCTGAACCCAAATCAGTCGCCATCGTGGGCGGTACGTGCAGAACACAGAGTGAGAATTTGCAAACAATTGATTGATTTCTGTCAGCTGGCATTTTTGGCCTCTCTTTGGCCGTTGCTCTGAGCAAACGTGGTAAGCGCGCCTTGCTACCATACCCGGATGTGGCCCTCGAGCTAATCCTCATTTCTCAGCGTACCGCGTAACAGTGTTGGACAGATACTGTTATGATGAGACGCACTATGAGCCCGACTTGAATGGAAATACGCAGGCTGCCTCGGTAGATCACAACAAGATCGTAAGTTTGGGGAGATTGAGTGTACATTCCAAGCTATGCTCATGTAATGTCTCCAGTTTCGAGCTTCTTACGGGAGCAAGCTTCATTACCAGCGTCTAGCATTTGAAAGTCGTGCTGCATGGGAGAAGATCAACGAGAAGAGGCACCAAGAAGATCATGAATCAGAGCTCTTTAGCGGGAGTGGCATGCTCCGAGTTCAGCCCACCGCCGAACTCGATCCACTTGAGCGTGAGACACTGAGCAACTTTGAACGAGACGGCCTCAGAGATACTCAATTCGTCAAGAGCGACCCAACTGATCGAGCTCGAGCAGCTGAGCGTGGATGGGAAGGAAAGCTTCTGGATTTCGAAATTCCACAAGCCTTGCCTACTCAGACTTATGAAGCTGTTCTGGACTCAACTGCAGGATTCACAAAATGCAGCGAAGCCTGTGCCTATTTCTACAAGTTGGCTCTCAAACAGGGCGTTGAGTTTCACTTTGGCCCCGGGAAAGGTACCTTTGACAGTATTATCGAAGAAGTTGACTCACCATCACACCTGAAGAAGGCAGTCGGGGTCAAGACCAAAGACGGAGTCCTTCATAAAGCGGACGTGGTTGCCATTTGCGGTATGCATACTCTCCTTTACCACTATCTGCGAGGTTGCGCGACTAATAGCCAACAGCTGGATCCTTCTCAACGCAGCTATTGCCTGATTTGTCCTACCACCTTGAGTCGTCTGCAGGAAGCGTAGTCACCTTCAAGGTGGACAAGAACAGCGCAGAATTGTGGGACAAGTACTCCCCTGAACGCTTCCCGGTCATCACTTGGAAAAGTGCACCACGCAACCCGAGCGGTAAAGACACCGGCAGTGTTTACGTCTTTCCTCGGACTGCCGATGGTCTCATCAAAATCGGGTTCCGAGGCATCAAGGTACTTATGCGTCGCCGTGTTCGCTCGTATCAGGCTAACAAGACAACCCCCAGTTTACCAACTTCCAACATGCGCCTTCAGAGGCGGGCTTCACTCAGGACGGCCAGTGGAGCGTGCCTCTCCCGCCCGCTGATTGCAGCATAGTCCCAGACCCTGCGAGGGAGGCCATTCGAAAGTTCGTCTCCATCTTCCTCCCGGAGTTCGCCGACAAGGACTTCAATTCGACTAAGCTATGCTGGTACACCGACTCATTGGACAACTCTTTCGTTGTGAGTCAGCTCTTACCTGTTTTAAACCTTTTCACTTACTGATCATTTCAGATCGACCATGTGCCTACTTATTCCGAAGGATCTGTCTTCGTCGCGACTGGAGGCAGTGGACACGGTGCCAAGTTCCTTCCCGTGCTTGGCGAGGTGGGTAGCAAAAGCTTCGACTCTTCTTGGCGTATCGTCTGACAATGTTTACAGCACGCAGCCGACATTTTGATACATGGTGATCAGAGCACTTCCTTCATGAGGCAGCACTGGCGTTGGAGGGACAACATTCGCAGGGGCAACGGCCTAGAGGAGGGCCCTGAGGGTCCGAGAAATATTGGAGGATCAAAGGAGGCTTAGCCATTAGGATCGCATGCGACTGTGCCTATTCTCGGAAGTCCAACTACTAATTTGATTACTGTCAATCCTTGAATACAAAAATCAAGGATTCTGTTGGTCTTGAGGATGCACGCCATACTTCTAAGGGTTTGGGAATTTATTTCACAAAGCGAATGATCGATGAGCCGTATTACTCGATCCTTTCTCAGGTATCAGTGACCGACATTACATTCCTATGAGACGTGTCAGTTCCCACTAACTAGGGCCACAATGCTTCGGGCCGGTTGCCAAGAAGGCTTGTTCTCCGAGAGCCAAGAGTCTGACATGGGTATTACGACCTGAAAGTATGATATGTTACGTCTTCACAGGGGTGAATTTGTCGGTTGCATAGAGATCTGCGCAAGACGCAGGGGCTGTGAGCAACCTTGATGTCCTCGCTTTCGCCCCTTGCCTTTCTCACGCATTACCAAAGCAGCTCATTGGTGTCGTCTTCATCTGCTGCTTGTTTTTGCCATTTGCCTGTTTAGGATCAAAAGCCTCATCTGGATTTCACCGGGGTTAGTCCAGCCGGTCAGGGACGATTCCCATCCTGGTCCCAGGCCACCTCTATGGTTGATGCTCTGGAAATACAGACTCGGAAAATCAGAAGAGTCAACGCCAAGACAATCGGTTGATAATCGATGAACCGATGAGGACCTGGAGCTTCTAGGATGATATTTAAGCCGTCCAAGACTCAGTCCTCTTCCGAAAGCTTCTGAATCTGAATTGTTTGACTCTTAACAGCACATTCTGTTGCGAGCATATCTAACTCGAGCGGTTGCGAAATCGAAGCCTTAAAATGTCGAGCGAAATAGATTTCGAGAAAAAGGTCGTTGAGAGCGAACCTATCTCTCATTCCACACCTGATCACACACCCATCGTAAATGGAAAAGCGACGTCTCCAGGAACGCCTGCGGGACAACGACAGCAACATGCCGTCACCAAAGGCGAAGTCGACGATACAACAGTCTTCTACAATCTCAACAAAGACAAGGTTGGAATTCTGTCACCTGGGGCTGAGAAGCGACTTGTTCGAAAGAACTTTTGGTTTCTTCTAGGACAGACATGGTGGATCGCCTTCCTCATCCATTTGGATAAGTCGACTCTGTCGCAAGCCAGTACGATGGGCATTTTCAAGGATGTCGAGATGACCAAAAAGCAGTACAACGATCTTTTTGTGGTGTTCTATACTGGCTACCTCATCGCCCTCTGGCCTGGTGCTTGGTTATCCCAGCGGACGGGTCAAAAGCAATTCATCGTCGGCTCCTTACTACTTTGGGCCTTCTTGCTCGGCATGCACCCGCTTGCAAAGACGGGCAAGGAGCTTATGGCCCTCAGATTCATCCTAGGCATGGTATGTGGGCTTCTATAAATTTTCCACGATGTGAACTTTATCTTCTGACCTTTACAAAATGTTCAGACCGAGTCCCAGATCGTTCCAAGTACCACAATCCTTCACCAGGCATTCTTCCCTCCCAAGAAGAGTCCATGGGTCCAACTTCTATGGTGGGCTTCTGGAAGCTTGGCTAACGTCTTGCTTACCATGGTTGCCTACAAGCTTATTCTCCTTGATGATAGTCACGCTCTTGTTGGTGGGTTGTCATCATGGAAATGGCTGCATATCATATGTGTCATTCTTACGTTCATCGTCTGCGTGCCTCTCGTGTTCTTCTTGCCCAACTCTCCGGTGGAAGCAAAGTGGCTTTCAACAGAAGAGAAGATACACACCATCTCAGCCATTCGCGAAGCCCAATCTGGCATCAAAAACTCTTCTTGGAAGTGGTCGCATGTTCGTGAGGCTTTCTCCGATCCCAAGAGTTGGCTGTTCATGTTGGTCTCCTCGCGAAAACGGTACCTCTAAAATCTCTGAACAGTCTAACGTTGCGATAGTTTTCACATGTTCTTCAACGAACTTCCGAACAACACATCGCAGCAACTGCCGCTGATCATTGTCGGGTTTGGATTTACAGCCGCTGAAAGCGCTTTATTCAACATTGCCAAGCCTCTCATCGGCTCACTCCTTATCCTTGTTTCAGCTGCTATGCTCTATGGAACTCGACTAGGCACCGGCTACACGTGTGCGATCTCTTACATACCATGCTTTGTTGGGGGTATTATCGAGGTGAGCTTCCTATGCCGCGAGGCCATTCTAGTACTGAACCTTTCCAGCTGGCATCGCCCTGGTCCAACAAAATCGCTCTCGTCGTTGGCACACAGATTTCTACCTTCAAGCCCTCTTATCTTCTCGGTCTGTCTTGGGCTGGGACAGCAACAACCGGCTACACTGGGAAGCTAACAGTGATGTCCACATGTGTTGTTGCCGCAGCAGTCGCAAACATGATCTCCCCTGAGTAAGCCCTCTCCGCGGCCGCCATGCTTGGTTCATTGACTGATGCGCTTTCTCAGATTCTGGCAGCCCAAGTACAAGCCGCGCTACCGACTTCCCTGGGCCTTCATGACTGCCTTCTGGTTCATTTCTCCAGCAATGTGCCTGATCATCCGATGGTATCTGATCCGCGAGAATCGTCGGCGTCAGCTGATCTTGGAGAACGACGAAAGCCGTGAGGAGCATGAAGTTCTGGACACGGGCGAGGAAGTCATCCAGGTCCACAACGAAGATCTTGATCTGACTGATCGTCAGAATCTCAAGTTTATCTACCCCTTGTAGACCTGCGATGGGGATTTGACGCAAAAAAGAAGGGGAACTCTGGGAAACTCTGGGGCTACGACAAATGGTGCCCTCGAAATTGAAGGTCTTTAAGGCGCACACGTACCACGTCAACCAGAAGTTCCACATCGAGGACAATGGAGTTTCTCTTTGTTCCCATTCCCTTCCTTTACGTTGACATTCCCATCGTCTGCCCACCTCGACCAATTCAGGAAAGGTGAAAGACAGCACTTGACTTTGTTGTCTTGGGAGAGTCGGGTGGCGGTGGTATCACACGGGAAGTTGACTACTGAGGCACTCGACCCAGTAGCAGGATTTAGCTAAATGATTCAGGGTGATACATACTCATGACGACTTCCGTGGAGAGCGGTGTCTTCTGGTTGCATACGTATTCTCCACGGGAAAATCCCTTTATCAACTGTAGTTCCTGTATCCTGAACTCACCAGTCACAAGTCGGCTCAATGCGTTTCAAAGTCAACAAGTATGCTGCAGCGATCGAGGCTACGTGTCTTTCTATGCCATCTGACGCAACGACGTCCCCAATACGCGAGGTCTGGGGGCAAAATGCCTCCACAACCCCTGATATTGCTGGAAAGTGCGGGATAAAACTGTTTTCGCCCCTTGTACATGTCATGTGCGATTGACGAGATCGCGGGTCGTATTTGATTGCCCTCGAGTCTCGACTCTCAGGGTGGACTCTGAGCTCGGAGTTCGGCGCCGCCGGCCGAGTGCTGCAGAAATTCCCCTCATTGTAACCCTCACAGTTCTTCCCCGTGGGGTATGCCTCAGCCATTCTGACTGGTCAGTCAACATCTTTCGGTACAGATTTCCATCACAGCCCCTCTCGTCCTCGTCCATAGTCCCTCACCAACTTCGGCGCCGAGGCCGAAAGAGGTCCCAGATACTCGGTCGAATTGATACTTTCTTCGATGAAGAGATGGATCCATGTCCCGATCAGCGGATGAAGATGCCGGCAAATGAGTCTGGCAGCTCCACATGCAATGACGATGGCAAAGTACCGCCGCCGCCCTGGTGCGTTGTCATATCTTTAAAAGATGCGCATAGTCTTTCAAGGTGTTCCAGACCGACTGTCCGTAGAGAACAACGGGACAGTAAATTCATGATTGGCATCATGCTATCCGCAATGACTTTGGCGTTATGGCTTCTGCCTACTACGAGCGTGGCAAAGGCGAATTTTAGCACACAATGCGACTCATTACCGAGCTTGATCGCAGCTCTCGCTAGCAACATCGGAGTAATTACGACAAGCTCCATACCGACTCACTCGCTCAACGTATCTGGAACTTTCAACCAAGTCGCATTCTGTCGTGTCAACGGCAGCGTTCCATACCCGGAAAACAATAATGTCTTTTACGAAGTCTGGCTTCCAGAAAGCATCACGTATAATGACAGGTTCCTAGCTGTCGGTAGGCTGCAAGATCATCCAGTAGATCCAGGATCTTAGTTAACAAGTGGACAGGCAATGGCGGCTTGGCTGGTCGAATCGACTATGCCTCAATGCTAGAAAACGTCAACAAGGGCTTCGCAACTTCGGGAGGGGACAGCGGTCATCTTGCTTCAGATAATAACGACGGCGATGCATACCCAGGTGGCATCTACTTGCCGTTCCTTCACGACCAGAATCAAGTCCTTGCATGGATCCGCAATTCTATCGCGCTCTTCACGCCTGTAGCGAAAGAAATCGCAACGTTTTACTATGAAAAGTCTCCGCAACATACCTATTACAAGGGATGTTCGACCGGTGGAGCCCAAGGCTTTGCACTTGCTCAGTATCACCCTCAGCTATTCGACGGCATTGTTGCCGGCTGTCCGGGCAATTGGTACTCGCATCTGGCGCTGTCCTTTCTGTGGAACCAGCAGGTGACTCTGGTAAGTTCATGCTGTTCTAAGTCTATGCCTGCTCTTGAAGGGCATGATGTTAAATCTCTCGGCCCAGGATGAAATTCAGTAGTTACTGCTAACACCTCTCAGGGTGCTTTGTTCTTGCCACAAGAATCACTCGACTTGATCGCAAATGCCGTGTTAGACAAGTGCGACACGCTAGACGGTGTTGAGGACCGAGTCCTCGAGAATCCACTTGCATGCACATTTGACTTGGACAAGCTCGCTTGCACGACGCCCGCTACTAACTCGTCACATTGTTTGACATCTGAACAACTCACAGCTGCCAAGAATATATATGCGGGACCCCGCCATTCCCTGAGCAATACCAGCATCTACCCTGGGTTTGGTCTGGGCAGTGAGTCGGAATGGATGATGCAGGAGGGTCGTTTGTCCCTTTCGTTCTCTCTTCCTCTCCTGCAAAACATGGTATTCGACGACTTGAATTACAATGGCAGCACATTCGACTGGGCTAGCGATGTGGATGCGCTGGATCTCAAGGTTGGAAGCTTGATTGACTCCGTCAGTCCCAACCTGACTTCCTTCAAGGACAGGGGAGGAAAGCTTCTTGTAACGCAAGGATGGGCCGACCCTTTCAATGCGGCAACCTGGCCCATTGATCATTTGAATGAGATCAGTCAGGTGACAGGTGGCGATCGAGATGAGTGGCTATCTTTATTTATGGTTCCAGGTAAGTTGAGATTGGTAGCCGCCATTATGTGGCTTTTCTTGAGCGCGCGATTAATGAGGTTCTTTATGTAGGTGGTGGCCATTGCGGAGGTGCCTCGAGTTATACTCACGTTCCCGGGAAACAGAACTCCCTCGAAGCCTTAGTCGAGTGGGTGGAGCAGATGAAGGATCCTGAAGCTCTTTTGGGAACATCGCCCGCAGATGGAAGCGATAGAACCAAAAGGCTATGCCGATGGCCTCGTACGGCCAAGCTTGTAGGGTCAGATGTTGACAGTTGGGAGTCATTTGTTTGCGAATAAAACCCTGGTGCGTCAAGTGGTTTCTAGATTGAGCTGCATGCTCTGAATACCTTATAGAGTCCTTATGAGGATGCTAGCGGCTTGGATGCAACGATTGGAAATCGCCAAAGTTGGCAGCGCCATCTCAAGTGATCTGGGGTTCTTCTCTGTTTCCAGATGCTTTGGGAGTATGCTCTACTGCGTTCTCAATGCCAACCATCAAGCTGATCACAATTAGCCAAAGAATCTAGCGGCTTAAGCAGGAACAAAACTTTACATCGCATGCCGAAACTAGAAAAACATGTGGTCTCAACTAAAATGCTACATTGACTAATTCTGACATAATAAGCCCTGGAAAACAATATATGGTGGCCTGGCACTGCTACCCTGTCGCACTCGGCATGGCCTTGAAGGGATAAAAACATTGGTCACGTATTAGAACAGCCACGTCGTCAAATCACAACTGCTACTAAATCTGCTAGAGGCACTAGGTGGTTCGATTTCAAGCCCCAGGTTTCACCTATAGAGCGGATCATGCCGACTCCTTACTTTGTGGATAGGTGCCGAGGATTGACGAGCCTTTACGAATAGTCCGAACCGTTCGCGACTTTTAACGGCTTTCCCTAAGTCCCCGCTAACATCAGATATTTAGGGTCTTCCGAGCACTTTAGCCGTTTTTAACAGCCCTGGAGCGGCGTCCATCCTGCGTCTCTCCCGCAGAGCCCTCCATCCTCTGTGAACTTCTCAGCCGTGCCACCCGTTTCCGTATTCGAGGCTCTGGCATAGAAGCGGACCTATCACTGGGCTTAGTTCCAAATGAAAGGTCCTCGCTTGGTCAGACGCGCCTTGTAAGATCCTATCGACTCCCGTTAACAAACCATCATCTGTGTTTCCCACTCCCCGAAACTCAGGCTGTTCCGAGGCGCGAGAGGTTCGCATGCGCGATGACTCTTTTCCGCATCAATTAAGGGTTACACTCATTTAATTATTTGAGCTTCAAACGTTTCATAAGGGTCAAAGAATTTGATCAAGAAATTTGATCGCTCTGGTTTGAGATACGAGCCCGATTTTCAACTCAAAGGTCAACGCCGTGGCCCATCATAAATGTACTCCGTTTACCATTCGCGCCCAGCAACTCCAATCGCATGACCGGATATTATGATTCAATTTGCAGATTCGATGATACATGAGCTAGCGCTCGGTTCCGGGCAGGAGACTTCCCTCGTTTATCTGGAGTCTCTAGAACTTTTAGCTTGCGTACAATACATATCATCTGGCATCAACTCCAATAGATGCTTGTTGCCGTCAAGTTGCTCTAGATGACGGAGGAAAATACAACAAGGCGCTGAAACTAGCCGCCATTCGCTTGCCATTTGTGTATCGAGGTACGGTATATGACCCTCTTCCAATCGCAAGGATCAGAAGCATAGGACGGGAATGGCCACCTAGGTATTTTAGGGGGCGTCACCAAGAATTCTGTCCAGGCCTAATTTCTGGATGGGAAGTGGACTCCATAACGTCCCTTCCAGCTCGTCAGTGACCGTAGCACTGTCTCTGAACCTTTGGGGATTGAATCACTGGGGGCTTGGCCATTGTGTTATCGCCAGGGTCACATCAAAGCTGCGATGAAACTTCTTTTCCAAGTTTACAGTCCTGCGCGTTCTGGACGCAGCGATAATGGCTTCCATATCATCCTACAAAGTGAATCCTATGGGCGCTTGCTGATTTCCGCCGTTCTCGTGTGTCCGCTGACGAAGTGACTGGATCACAAGTCCCATCGCCAGTGCTATAGATGCAATCTCAACCAACCCATGTTGAAGGCCACATCGGCGCTCAGGGGTTTCCCTCGCTTTCTCCACAAAATCGATCCCGAGCAGGTCGTTTATGCTTACCGTAGCGTGTTTGGAGGATTTTGCTAGAGCTTTTGTCTAAAGCAGGGATTTCATCCGAGCTCTAGCGTTTGCCGCTTTCTGTTGGCAATCTAAACCGAACTCTTGGCTCGAAATGGGCGCCTACATCCTGCTGCTAAGCTCCACAAGCATGTCTAGGCTCAACTTCGTAAACCAAATTTTGATTTACTTGTGCGTGTGTGTGTGCTATGGTTAACACTTCTACTCAACATTATATAAGGCATGTGCTGATCGCATCTACAGGCTTCTAAATTCAGCTCAGCACACCAACGTGACTATCCTATCATTCTTCTTCTTACTCTCTCTTTATCATTCACTCTTTACCTGACTTGAAGTCATTCCATTCTTTTCCGCGTATCTCCAATCGCAAATATGAAGGCCACTGTTGTTCTCTCCGCCGTCCTTGGCTTGGTCTCCTCGGCCTCTGCTCACTACACGTTTGACAAGCTCCTCGTCAACGGTGCTCAACAGGGTGGTGACAACACCTACATCCGCAAGCATCAAAACAGCTACATGCCCACCAAGTTCAAAAATATCCCTTCGGGCTCTATTTCGCCGACTGATGCCGATTTCTCCTGCAATAAGGGGGCCACTGCGGCCGCAAAGGTCTTCACCGTCAAGGCTGGCGACAAGGTTGGCCTCAAGCAGGCCTTCGGTGGCACCGGCATGCTTCACCCCGGCCCCACCCAGGTCTACATGAGTCCGGTCAGCAATGCCGCCTCCGATAAGGGCACCGGGACCTGGTATAAGGTCTCCCAGTCCCTGCTCTGCAAGGCCGGCAACGCCGAGTCTCTCCGTACTGGCGCGTGGTGCAGCTACGGCGAGGACAACGTCCACTTCACCGTCCCTTCGACCATCCCCAACGGCCAGTACCTCGTCCGTGGCGAGCACATTGGTCTTCACGGCGCTCACAACGGCGAGGCTGAGTTCTACTATGCCTGCGCCCAGCTTGAGGTTACTGGAAACACTGCTACGACCATGCCTGGCACTGGTGTCAAGATTCCCGGCGTCTACAAGCAAGCTGATGCGGCCGTCAACTTCAGTCTTTGGGGCAGCTCAACCTCCTACAACACCATCCCTGGCCCCGATGTTATCCCTGGCGGCACCACCCGCGGCAGCGCCGACGGATCTTCTGGCGATAAGTCCGTTACCGTCGCTGGACCCAGCTCCGCCTCGTCGGATGTTGGCGCCAAGGCCGACTGCTGAGCGACGGCGTTGACTAGGTAGTCAAGCTTTGGGCGACACAACCATCAAAAACGTTTTTGGCTTTTGAGGTGTCGTGATAGCCGAATGACTCTCCGGTCCATCACATGGAGGAGCTAGAGGCCACCCTTCTTGAGAACTCCATCCGGAGTGTACGTATTTTATTACATGTATTCATATATCCAGTACATACTTGGCAGTCGGTGATTGCGGGTACATAAAAAGAATCGAATTGCATTCGTCAATCTAAGCTCCATTTCTTCCTGAGGATGCCATCGATGCTATTATCATCACATTGGTATTAAACCCCAAAGCGTAATGTCCAGACCAATTGAGGTCCTCATCGACAAGAGTTTTCCGCGCAGAACCGAACTCTCAGGCTTTGTTGTGAGACGCATGAGTGGTCTGACTCTGCATGTATTGAGTGGAAGCCTGGTGAATCACTTGATTTGTTTCTATGAGTGAATTGCCGCATTGGTGAAAATTAAGTCAGCCGCAGTCTGGGCGCATGCGAGTTGCTAGGTTTATTTCAATATTGTTTTCTGGTGTTGCCTGTGGTTGGTCCAACATGACTTGGTGGCGTCAAGTCCGCGGCAAGAGATCTTGGCGGGGAAATGACTTGATTCAAACATTTCTCGACTCGCATTTCACTTTTAGTCCTTCGGATTTCAACGACGACGATTGAGACTCTGCGACTTGCTTCGTGAAGACGACCACTAACGTACGACATGGCAGCTGCGCCAGGGCGTACTGCCCACCAACCTACCGCAAGGGAACTCGTGGAAGGGATTGCCGAGGAGCATGGCATTATTTCTGAGAGCGACTTGACGGAGATTGGAACCATGAATCAACGCATTCGATCCGTCGTAGAAAAGGCTCTATTACAGAAAGATCAACTGATCGGTTCCTCGATTTTGACGTATGCTACAACCGCTCATCAATTAGGTCTGCTCAGTTGCAACTTCGACAGCTGCTAATCGTGTCTGAAGCTTGGCAAAGAATCTCAACACTAGTCATGCCCGCTTTGTCTTCGAACTTCTTCAAAACGCCGATGATAATAAGTTCGTTGTAGCAAACAGTCGGGGTGTTGAGCCTTTTGTAAAGTTTAGTGTGTACCGAGAACGTATCAAAATTGAGTGCAACGAGGATGGCTTCACCTATCACGACCTCAAAGCCATCTGTGCGATTGGCCAGAGCTCAAAGAATCGCAGTCATGGTTACATCGGGGAAAAAGGTATCGGCTTCAAATCCGTCTTCATGGCTGCCTACAAAGTCAACATTCTCTCGAACGACTTTTCCTTCAGCTTCACCCATCGGAAGGGCGACAGCGGGTTGGGGATGGTTACCCCTATCTGGGAACCAGACTTTATCCCGCAGTGTGAACAAGCTTCAAGTTCCATCACACTTCATCTTCATCAGTACGATGACACTTCTCTCTCAGAGGCGGCGCGGCAGAGGGAGGAAATTAATAGAGAGTTCGAAAACCTTCCAATCACAGTTTTGCTTTTTCTGAGGAATCTGCAACGCATCGAAATCCAGTTTCACGACGACAATGACACGGAAACAAAGCGAGTGGAGTATTCCTTCTCAACTTCAAGTTCGAGCACTCTCATAGAGAGAGTATGGCTATCCGACCGTGAGTCTTCTTCCGGCGAGACTGTCCAGAGAAAGCATCACGTCACGCGTCAAGTGATTCGAGATGCTCCTCCAAACGAAAATAGGGAGCTTTCTGAAGGCAATGGCCGTGCGGATGCTGAGACTGAAGTTATCCTGGCTTTCCCACTTACCGATGACTACACCCCCATCATTGATAACCAGCCAGTTTTCGCGTTCCTTCCAATGATGCCCTTGGGCTTCAAGGTAAGTAAGCCTTTGCAGCACAGAACTTTCCATCCACAACATCGCTTCAAGCCTGTGCTGATTTACAAGCAGTTCATCATCCAAGCTGATTTCGTCACCAACTCGTCTCGCGAAGGAATTGTGATTTCATCTGCACGTAACTTGGCAATCAGAAATGGTATCGCGACTTGTTTCCTCAAAGCCGTAGAGGAGATGTGCCAACATCCCATGTTGCAATTTCAATGGATGAGGTGGCTTCCACAGAGACATTCATACCCTTGGGATAGCTTCTGGAGTGGCTTGCTCGAAGACATTGTAAGCCGTATCAAGACGAGCAAGATTCTTCGCACAAGGGGGAGCGGTCACCTGGGCGGCATTCACTCGCTGCGTCGCCTACAGTCCAATTGGCTCGACGAAGCTGGGACTCCGTTATTCGACGACCTTGATGCTGAGATCTATGTTGCCGAAGAATACCAGATCAAGGATCTAAGCTTACTTGAGCCGTACGGTCTGAAATGGCTGTCAGCAGACGAGAGAATAGCTCGGATGGAACGGGACCTTGGCCAACCGACTGGTAAATCAAGAATGAAGAATCCGTCCACCAGTACGCAATGGCATTCACTAGCTGCCAGTACGATTCAGAGACTCGTCGCTACCGCGTCCCCACAGAGCCTAGCGAGAATTCACACTTTGGACATCATACCTCTAAGGGATGGCAGTTGGACCTCGATTAATCGGAACAGACGACCCATTTACTTCCCCTTCTGTCGGAATGGTCTTGAAATCCCCGCAGATCTTCCCTTGTCTCTCGTCTGCCCAGAGGCATCTGCTGTCGATGATCGTTACAAGCTCTTTCAACTGCTCGGTGTTCAAACGGCAATGGTTGAAGAGGTCCAACAATTGATCTTTGAAGCTCCAGTTCCGACTTCGAAGACCGAGGGTACCCTGCTAGCATCCGTCAACAACATGAAGTTTCTATATTCATCTTACCACCATACTTCTTCCGGTGTAGAAAGCTCAACTGAAATCACTAAGCTCTTTGTCTTTGATCAGACAATGGAGATTCAGCTGCCTCATCGCCAAGATGTCTACCTCGCCACAAGCGGTCCCTATGAGCCTTGCCGTCTTTTACAGCCTACACCAAATCAGCCAGACGGGTTCTTTGTGTCATTTTTGCACGATCAGTACTCTGAACGCCCTCCAGAGACACCGGCGGGATCGGAGCAGGCATGGTCTGATTGGCTTGAGCGTGTTCTGCGAATACGCCGTCGGCTGAGACTAACCTCTTCTACGTCTCCAGAAAGTCTTTCTCCCGAGCTCGACTTTGTCCGCATTTTTCGTCCCGAAAGCTTCATCGAGGCACTTCAACATCATTGGATACTGCTGAATCATGATGACTCGAGGACCTCGAAATTCCTTCGCAACCTTCGAGACCTCAACATCACATGCAAGGACGGCAGGGACTACCCACTCGCGGAGACGTTTCTACCACTGTTAGAGCTCCAGGCTGTTGTCTCTTCGTACCTTGGAGATTCAACAATCAGCTTCCTTCAAATCGATGAAGCCGCACATTCTGCTTCATATCATTCAAAATGGGGCTTCTTAGTCAACGAGCTTGGTGTCCGAGCTCGAGATGACGTGAACTTGCGTTTGTCAATTCTTGAAAAGGTTATTGAAGGTCAGCCACAACAAGGGAGCTATAGGAAGATTCTGGGTCTCTACGAAATGATACAACTTCGGTGTGAGGAGTCTGCATCCAAAGATCATGTTGCCACAGTTGTGAGGTAAGGAGCTACACCCCAGTTTCCAAAGAAATTGACAAGCGACAAGTAATTGATAAGACGTAGAAACTTCTGCCGCCAGAGACATTGCATCTTGGTTCCCATATACAACAATCAAGAAGAACAAAGAAGGGCCCCTCTTAGAATCTCTGCAGCTGAGGACGGCATACTGACCTGGAGAAGGCCGGATACCTGTGTCTGGGCAGCCCCAGGTGTTCCGTACGCTTACACTGCTCTTGAAGGGCGATTCACGAACGATTGCTCCGAAGATCCTGTGGATTCTCTGGAGAGGTTTATGAAGGTGACCCTTGGAATAGGAGATTGGGACGAAAAATGCTGCATACAGGAGCTGAAGCACATGAAGGGTGCGAATTGCGATGATTTCGACTGGGTTGTGGAAATTTACGAGTTTATTCACGCCTGCGACATGTCAGAAAGTCAATTGAAGGACTTCAGGTATGTTTCATAGCTCATTTTTAACGAAAGGTGTCTGACTTTGTCAATTCCAGGACCCTCTTCAGGACAACGCCTCTCATATTCGTTCCGAATGGCGAGACGTTCAGATGGTGTACAACAGCCGAGTGCTTATGGTCAAGCGGGGCCAAGATTCAGGGACGAACGACTCTCAGCTCCATCTACGAAGACTTGGAAGACTTCTTCGTCGATACACTCGGGGTACAAAGACTAACTCTTGCAATGGCATGCGATGAGCTTCTGAAGAAGGGGACCGAGCAAACAGCCGCCACCATTGCCGAAGTTAAAGAAACAATATGGGCGGTGAACACCCTTCTTCAGACTGCAACGTTGTACCCTGACCCAGAGCAGTTACTGAAAAGTGCCATATTTCCCGTTGAATATCCAAATGGGCAGGTCTGTCTCGAAACTTTTCGCACACATTTCGTTATTAGGGACCGCAAACCCTTAGCCGCGATATTTGCTTCTAAAGTCAAGTTTCTGGACTTTTCTCTTGATGAAGTTCATAGGCTCAGTAACTTCTTTTCTTGGTTAGGTTTAGATTCCCGATATCTCTCCTCTTCCGTAAAGGAAATCTCTACTGTTGCCAGCGATTCTCAAATCAGAGTGCAACGTCCTGATAGAGATATTAGAAGGAGAGCAGGTGGAATCTCTAGGTATTTAATAACAGACTTCCCTGCCTGAACTCTCATTCAGGTGGTTCTCAAGCTGGAAGTTTCACTGACCTGATAACGACACTAGGGTTGCGTCTCACTTCAACAGTCCTCGCTCGGACGACGTCCATGGTCTATATTACACACTCCGTGCCACCGAAGTATTCGAAACGCATGGAATCTCATCTGAGATTCACCTTGTTCAGGATGGTAAAGCACACATCCATGCCAAGTCATCAAGCGAGCTTCACATCCGAGAGGCGGCTGGCCGCTTACAGATATACGTCCCTCTGAGCAAAGAGAGGCAGGATTTCTGTTATCACTCGAGTCTTCCAAGGCGTCTTCTGGAGTGGGTCATGACAGAACCCGAGACACAAATTTGTGGTGCAATACCACACCGAGCCATCAGTGCAATGAGCTCAGCTCTCAACGCACCGATCCAAAGCGTGTCACAGATCCTAGAGGCAGAAGGGATTATTGACTTGGGCGGTATTAATGAAGACGATCAAGGCCAAGAGTTCGAAGAGAGATCTGATGCCTCGCCTCCACCGGTGGCAGACTCTCAACGCCAAGGTTTCGCGGCTGAGATGCCCATAAGACCCTTCTCTTTGACGGGGCCCCGTTTCGTTTCAGGACCTGCTGTTACTCATCCTACATTTACGCAGCAGACAAGTACTCCCGCTTCACCTGATAGCAACAGAAGTTATCGCTTGCAGCCGAACTCACCTGTCGATGCAGCCGCCGCAAGCCTACCACAAGACATCTTTCATTTTGGGGAAACTTCCACGACACCCACTGCTACGGCCTTGCCTAGATTCGATGCGTTCAGCGCAGAGTATCTGAGAATACTCAACAACGTCATCTTTTCTGCGCGGCGTAGATCGTTTCCTGACCTTGGTCCTACAAGAACAGGACAGTCAGCAGAATGTGCCTCGACTCCTACTTCCAGTCCGTGGATACCTCCAGGAAGTGACAAGAAGATCGGCGCCGCCGGCGAGCTCTTTGTGAGTACAGATAATCTAAAACGTGTCTACTTTCTTTGACACAGTCCTCGATGACTACTCAAGACTCTTTACTCATTGGCTTCTTCCAGGTTTATGAACTGCTCTCGCATCTCAAACCTCCACTTCCAGGCTTTGGCATGGACGATTGGCAAAGTACGATGCGAAAACATGTGGCAGTTCATCCCGAATACTCCTACGTGACTCCTTGGGAAGGTCAAGAGACTGCCGACATCGTCTACGACGACAGGTTTGGAGTTCTAACTGAGATTCTTATCGGAAAGGGGTATTTGGAGCGGACCAAGTGGATCGGCAAGAAGCCTCAATACTTAATCGAAGTTAAGACCACGCCCGGAGATGCTGCAAGGCCGTTCTTTGTAAGCAAGTATCAGTACAACAGGGTAGGGCTTCAAAAACTTTCGCAATGGATGCATCGTTCAATTTGGCTGACCAACGTTTTATGGAAATGCATAGATGAGGTCTTACACAGATGCGTCAACGTCCCCGGGAGGATCTTGCACAGTTTACATGCTGCTTCGAGTCTTCAACCTTACTGCGTCGGACATCGATTTCAACGTCTACATGGACCCTTATGCTTTACAGCAGGACGGCACACTGATCTTCACGGAACATACTTGGCAGGTGGTCCCAATGCAAGGCAATAGAGCTGCTTGATAACTTTGAGTTTCCTGGTGTTTGGAGTGTCTGAGGCTAGAGTTCGTAATTGACAGGGTCTGATTGAGAGCATTGCTGATGCCTTGCTTTGGTCGCCCTCGTCTTCTATCAACCAGATAGTTTACTAGATTTTACTAGCCACTTCTCGCATTCAGATGATTCGTATGGTTCTAATTCCATCAGGACCACAATTGTTCGATAAGCTTCCATCGGCGTTATGTGTCCCATTCTGCAGCATCTCAATCTCTTCTGCATCGTCGGTTACTGCCAGCCCAATCCTCTTGAAGACCTTCCTCTTCTCATCTACGGCCATCAGCAGAAGGCACCTCACAAAGCCATCAGGTTCATCCTGCTTCTGTGCGACAATGTAGTATAGCGATCCTGTGGTATTCTCGTCGTTGAAGCTTTCCTGGCCAATGTCCATGTGTACCAGAGGACCAATATTCCGTTGCGGATCTTTCCTCGATGCTATGACAATGACACCGTTGACTTTCAGAGAAAGGAACCGGCGTTGGCTGCCGGACTTCACAAACATTTCGAAGGGCAGCACACAACATCTAAGATCGACATGGCCTCCTTTTACCAGACCCGTCTTGTTTTTCGACACGTACTCGATTCGGACGTCTTCCACCTCTATGAGCAGTTTCGATTGATCAATCAGGGGTCCAGTTATGATTTTGCCATCGACTGAGGCCCAAGAGAATGATGGGGCCCTGTACACCTCGGGCCGAATAGATGGAGAGCCGTCAACCTGCGTCTCCTGATCAACATGCCATAGTAAATTGCTGGCTAAATGCTTCCGCCACATCCCCACGACATAGGTGTCGTCAACGAGAGTTTCGAAATGCTGAGCTATGCCTGAAAGAGCCAACAATTTGTCGGAGGCCATAGTCAAGCGGGTGCTTCCATACGCTCTCACGATTAAATCCCAAATTCGATGGTAGAACGTGGGGTCGTCCGGCTCTGTCTCTCGCGACATTGCATCAGGGCCGTAAGCTTCTTTACTGAGTCTCTTGAATTTTGTCGGAACGCTGTTTGCCAAGATTTCCGGCATCTTCTCTGGATAACACTCGGCGGCCGCTTGCTCTCTACATTCCCAGAAGAGTTGATCGCGGCCAAAGTGGAGAACGCGTGGTGAAAGCAGACGCTCCTGTAGAACCCAGCCGCGCTTATTAAGATGACACTGCCCAACGGCATGGCCCCAAAATGACATGTCGATAATGCTGCAGTCGGTGTATTCCGTTTCCAGTCCAAACCCCTCTGCATTGAGGCAGATGTCGGTAGTAAGGCTCACTCTCGGATCCCGCTTGAAGAAAAGGCCCTTGGAACTATCGCGTGCTCCCGCTGCAGAGATGTTGCAAAATGAGTTTGAATACACTTTGTGCATCAAACCCGCTTCGACCAGCCAGTCGGAGAGATCGTCTCGATCCTGGAATATGCACAGCGAGTCGATCCAGAGGTACCGCACGCCTAGTTGTCGAGTGACTTGCACGGCTTCACGGAATGTCTTTGGAAGCTTGGAGAGCTCGATGCCTCTTTTGAAATCGTCACACGTGGCTTTCTTCAGTTGCAGAAACTGGGCTGAACCCCAGCAATGACTCAGGGTCGCATAACGATCATTGTGCGAAGGCCGGTGTTCTGCCGTGATTACCAGACGGGCAACATCTGTTCCCTCGCAACCAGCCTTGAGGTCAAGCAATCGAGTTGGATACCACGGATCCGCTTTCAGCTCAACGTTGCAAGCCGTGTGAGTAGACAAACAGGTTTGCATCCATAAGTTTGCTTTAGCCCACGCTTCCTCGGAGTCCGTGTTGTTACTGGAGAACGGTATCATCTTTCCGGCATCCTTGTCTGGTGGCCGATCACATTAGAAAAAGCTGACGGCTCATCAACCCGGCAGTGTTACTTACAATCACCTCTCTGTACCACATAAGTACCAGAAATATTCTTTTGATCAAAATGAATTTCATCCGTGAATCCCGACTCGAATGAAATGGATACCATCAAGTCAGACCCAATGGCTTTTAGACTCGGTTCCTCGAGAAGGACAACTGCGCCCATAGTCACTAGACCATCAAACTCGTCCAACCGTTGCCCAGGTGTCCAGGACTTCGTACCGCCTGACCTAGGGCGTGAGGTCCAAACGGCGTCGAACTCTCTCAGTCTAATCTGGTCCTCCTCGCTGATCTGGAGCCAGAACGGACGACATGTCTCGCAAGCGTCGAGGGCTGAAGCTTCAAGGCTCGCGACCGATTCGTGATGAGCAAGTAAAATGGTGGGCTCGGAGCCCTCGTCGGTATCGCGAACCCAACCCTTCCGGTGTTGGAATGCCCCAACGCAAACTTGACATAACATTCTGATAGACTGTGCAGATAGCAAGAAATCTGTACGACAGACCTGGTATGAAGACAGTTGAACACTTATTGTTGTCTTTGAAGATGAGGCTGCCAGCATGCTTTGGGTGCCGCGCCATGTGGTCCAGTCAGGCCCATCTTGTTCGTGCGCGGGGTTAACACATACGGCTGAACTTCAGCTCGGTTGACTACACCGCAGAATTAAAGCTGATCATTGTGATAGGTGATGGTTCATGCATAAAAGCTGGGGTTGATAGGCAGGACAAAGATAAAGCCAGCCTGGGGCTGGGTGCCAAGACAGCCACAGCGCCAATGACCCTAGCCCATTGGATTGACTTCTTCGCACATAATTGTGGCCGATTGGGTTGCTTTGCAGAGAGAAACGGCAACGAGGGCGCGAATGGCTTCAGGGTTTTCTCACAGTCAACTTGACTAGAGTCAGAGCAGCATTTCTCAAGACTCCGATTTAACCCAGGAGAGGTAGCCCTCAACCCTCTCAAGTGTCTCCAGACTGATCAGAATTCTGATGCAGAGAAATTTGAGGCTGAATCGCGAGCGCAAAATGATAACGTTCGACGTTCGAGGAGGAATCGGTTCCGATGGTGTCTCGGCCTGGCTTGTACCGCTCTTGTACATCGTTAGGTCTGCGACCGCCGCGACAAAGACTGAATCAGGGTGCTTGACTTACATACAAATGATGATTTAGTACTGGGCAAACTGCGCCATGATTGCCTCGAGAGGACTTTACAACTCGAATTCACCGCAACAACGACTTGGGCCCGGATCTGTTCTGTATCCACTGCCTTACCCACTTACACCGAGAAGCAATTACGCTTTCGGAATCAGAACCAATGTGTCTTCGCTTCTGCTGAGTTTGCGATCAGTGTGCGATAGAGGCTAAAAGCTACGCGCTTTGGATATGTTCTTTGGGTGGCGGGCTGCTATTCCGAATACTTGATGGGCATCACCCGGTGCTCAAGCTTGAGTTGATGAGTTGGCGTTCGGTTGTAGCAAAGGGATATCATTTTGGGAAAGTGAAGTTTCTGAATCGCTTCAACTTGAGGTTTCGAAGAGAAGGAGGAAAAAGAGAAGATGCAGGGATGGAAGGGAGAAGGGGTTTGTCCACAACCCCCCTCACAGACAGTTAGCTTTCTCCCTACAAGACTCTGGCAAAGTAAGCCAAAATGACTGAGCATGAAAACAAATGATGCGGATGCCTTAATCGGTTTCGGACTTGAGCATCGAGACTATCGATTCATCGACGCCCTCAAAAACTCGGATGATATCGGACAGAAAGCGAATCAATAATTGGGCATCACATTTAGTTGAACTTTTTTCCCACAAGGTTGCAACACGAGTTCCGAAGCTCCGGGGGCCGCTCGAATCAGAACGGAGCAGTTGCCAACCTCCACGTGTGAATGTTGCAAAGATATTGCAAAATGAGACTCCGGTGTTACGGCTCGAACGGTCCAGCTGCAAGCCTCAACTCCCTTACAACCACGCGCCTTTGCCGATCGGCTCGGGGCGGACCCACTGATGCCCGCCGGGCGGCGGGTCCAGGCCATGCAGCCACTTAGAAGCAGCCCGCCGGCGCGCGCAGGCGGCCAAACACTAAACAGTCATAGAGTTGACGCTCCTCTCGGCCGCCCACAGACGCACACACACTCGCAGAACACCATCTTCAGCCCATGGAACACACTATCGTCATTCCGGTCCCCGAAGTCGAAGATCAAGACCACAGACATGCCGCGCACTAGGTGAGAACTAGCGGAGACGCCGTGCGACATCCCGCGCTGTCGGTTTATACGGCCATGTGCGCCTAGCATTGGCATGGAGCTGATCTATTGCTGTCAGCCTGTCACTGTCGATGTGGTGTAGATGTCAGACAGTGAGATAGATCTAGTCTTTAGGTGCCGGCGGGCGGATAACATCTATCACAAGCCTAGACAGCTCTGGCTTATTGCCTATCGTGACATTTTGCAACCATTTTCAGACAACACCAAACGAGCCTTCGGTCATACTACACGCTACTATGGGTTAGGTGAACGGCTCCCCCTTCCACGGGGCCACTGCCGAAGAATGGAGCTTTAGGACTTCCGCCCCGGTCGCGGATGGCGGAGGATGCGTGGATGGGCCCATATTGATCAAATCGCTTCGTGTAATCCCACGCAGTCAATTACACTGACATCAACAGACACACACGAGGGCGTTTTTGGATCAGTAACGCTTGGAGTTGCCGTCGGCCGTGGCGTTTTCTCAACCTCGTCTGCCAGAGACCGTTATCAGCAAGCAACGCCTCCAACATTACGCCGCGACGCGGCAGCGTAGGTACACGAGTCAGATCCCCGACGTCAGCGAGATGAGACGAACAGGTTTTTTGGGTATGTCTTTTGCGTCTCTTCATTTCGAGATTGAGTGAGAACCCTTCCAAAAAAGGAGAGTATCCGAGAGGCACAGCTCTGAAAAGGAGACGCAGAGAGTAAACCATACAAGGAACAACCCTCAGCTGTCAGGTCTGATTCGGGTCCACGGCGATAGGAATGGGGACTCATGGGAAGATGGAGAATGAAATCGTTGTTGCATTTGGGGGTGGGCTTGCCATCATGCACGAGCCCGCTGCCGCCGCCGCCCCCCTTAAAGCGTTGA